TGTGGGGTCCCGATGAGATAGCGTATCCTCGGCGGCTTAGGGAGCCCTGACTTGTCCGCGATGCGGGAGGCATTGGGTATGCCAACCAAGGTCCTGGAAACAAACCTTGGGTATCCATTTGGGAAGCAAGTCAACATTCCAGACTCAGGCCAGGATATTGTTGAGCAATAAACATAAACCGAACGTGTGCCTTTCTAGTATCCTGGCTTTGTGGTGAGCTATGACTCTTAGATGGACTCTGTTCCTCTTCGACTAGATTGAACTATAAAGTCAAATCTAGTCAAGACCATGACTGAAGATACGGAGTTTGATAGCCAAATATTTCACTTGATCATGAAAGCCGGAGCTTACACTGCATGATCTTTGCTATCTCCCCTAGGACAGCGTACGAGAGACGAGGGATTCGGAACAAGAAACTAGGCTCTGGCTGGCTTAGTCGTCTAACAGAGCATGAATTCTGTAGACCAAAGAGACCCCAAATAAATAGCGCAAGTCAATAGCTAGTTTAACTCTGTACTTCTATTCTCAAGGCGCCGATGCGAAATAGTATGGTGATGAAAAATATCACAGATGTTGCCTCTCCGTTCACATCTCCAGTCACAGATTACCAGTTTAAACTTACCCTGGAGTCAACTCCTGCCAATTTAAACCATTTAGAATAGCTTCTCTCATCGTGAGCATTTTCTTCGCCTTCACGATATAGATTGCGGAGTAGAGACGAGGTGAATGAGAGTGACGCCTGGCGGTGAGTTGGTTGACCTATCGGGCAAGTTCGCTTAAGACGTGAACATGCGAAATCCCCCAAAATAGTTTAGTGTCTACTCACGTGACTATAAGATTAATCTTTCGATATGATTGGAGTGATGACGAGACGAACATGTTCGAAAAAGCCGTCAAGGAGAAAGCTTGGCAGAGTAGATATTTTGTAAGCCAGTGAGGTCCAATATAACTGTACAGCTACTGGCATTCGCAGAGGTTTCAGGTCTGGCACTTGTTATGCGACCTGATAAGCTGAGTTCTGCCGCTAAACTCCCTGTTTAGGGAGGCGGAATACAAAGGCGGTGGCGATAATATCAGGTTCCTGAAAGTCAAAACGTGGATCTTCAATATGCTCTCATCAGTCTTTGCGATGCAAGGTAGCTATCAGTCTCTGTTTTATGGTCGACACTGCTCGGTATTTATTGATACAAGAATTTGAAAACAATCTCTTACGCGGCTGAGCTGTATTTGATGAACTCCAGTGTCAGCGGAGCCACAGATATATATAAATAGACACCTTTAGCCCATTCGCATCATTGGCTAAGGGTCCAATATTTCCATGAATAGATATCTATCTTTTCAAAGATTAAGGTCCAATTGAGACCTACAAATAGATTGTGTGCAGGTGGTGCTATCAAAACTGCGCTTTGAATCATAATGCAAGTTCATTCGAAGGTTTATTTGTCCTACAGAGATCTCGGTATGTTGATGTGCCCTCGTACCCCACTGTTGAAAAGGATACCATCAAAATCGAACTGGTTGGTGACTACAGAGTGTGATTTCACAATTCCTCTACACATTTCGTTCACCCTTACCACTGTTGGGCCTGTTCAAACGGGATTGACGAGAATATTTGTCGTCGCCACATTCTGGTACCCGAACGGTAACGCTGAAAGGGAACGAAATGCAGGGCCTCACTACGAGGGATGATCAAACAGTAGTCGGTGGTTATGAACCCAATGAACAAAAAGGAAAACGGCCTTCCGACAATCGAGTCGCTGCCGGTAAATTATCCCTAGATACGCTTATAGGGGAAACAGTCCAGCACTACGGCTTAAAAACCCGTGGCGCAGACCATGAACCGAGGAAGTAGATTTTTTCGTTTTTCATTCCAGCAGATGTATCCTGATCATAGGAGGTTGGATCTCGCATTGGCGAGTCTTTCAGAACTCCAGCGCCGTCACCGCCATTGCAACATGAACTTAAACCCCGGACAAAACCCTCTAAGCAGACTTGGCCTTGGCGGCCTCACGTCCCTTTCCGATGCGCTCCAGGATCTGCTCACGGTCCTTGTCGAGGTGGAGCTTGGAGATGACGACCTTGGAGGGGTGGATACCGAGGGGAACGCTCTGGCCGTTGGACTTCTCGCGGACGACACGCTCGACGTGGACAACCCACTTAAGACGGTAAACGCTGGTGATCTTGCCCTCACGGCCCTTCTGGCCTCCACGGACAATGGTGACCTCGTCGTCCTTGCGGATGGGGAGAGAGCGGACCTATCGAGGACTGCGTCAGAACTATGCTCCTTATATTTTCCTTGTTTTACCCCAAGCTTCATGTCGTTGGTGTTGCTTTCCTCCCATCTCCATCCCAGATCCAGTGGGCGAGCGAGCCCAATCCCGACTGAGGAGAGAGGGTTCATGCCAAATCCATTTCGACTTCTTCAAGGGGTGTGCAGATCGTTTCCGGTGTTGTTCGAACATACATTGTACTTCTCACGGAGTTCCTTGCTGAGAGGGGCGCTCATGATGACACGGCGCTCACCGGAGCCAGCGTTGAAGTGCGCCTTGCGCGACTTCCGGCGGGAAGAGGCCAAACCTGAAGGACGATTCATCAGCATACTCGGACCATGTAACACTCCACCCGGATACCACGAGACAGCGATTGGGAGGATCTAGAGATATCGGCGGATCGAAATTCAAGGAATCACGTACTGTGGTTCTGGACAGTCATCTTGACAGAGCCTCCTAAAAGGGATCGTGAAAGGGCTCAGGTACGGTTGTCGTTGGGGTCGTCGTCGGAAAGCTTCAAAGTCCAACAGATTCTTTTGTGGCCGAAAAGATTGAGTTGTGTGCGTCACATGACGGCCCGCTTCGCCTAGGGCTGGGTCCTGCCTTGTGATTGGCTGTCGTCCGCTTCCGCCTTGAGCCCGTGACGCGGGTTCGTCGATCGTAAGAACTCTTAGGACTGGTCCATGTAGGCTTCGACTGACTCTGGACATAATCCAGTAAACTAAAATCTACAAGATCCATAGGACTTAGATAAGTGCTACATTGTCATCTCTGTCCTGCGTGGCGGGTACTCGTACTTTCTCTCTCTGCCGATATCTTGGTTACCCTATTAGGAATAGTTGATGCCAAGAATATCAGAGAACATCCACCAGCAACAACATCACGGAGGTACAACAAAGTAAATTATTCTGTTCTTGGGACTTCAGATAGAGGTATTCTTGCTACGGCGACTAGCGAAATTACTCACATCAGGGTGTGTAACTCCACAAAAGCCGTATGATGCATGCAACAACGGTGGCATCCTAATAATAGTACTTGCAGTATTGTTCTTGATACAGATAGAGACATTGGCGAAATGAAGGCCAAAACTCATAGCATGAAGAAGCTAATACTTAGACGTAGCGGGTGTATGATGCGCGTTGTGCGCGAGACTCTCATCTTATCAAGGGTGGAAAAGTGACTGACAGAGAAAAAAGCGGGCCCCAGGAGCCGCTCAAACAATGTTCGCGTTTGATATGTACCAGGAATACGTACATACTGGATTTCATCCATACTCTTGGAAGACTATTGTGACGGTTGTCAGTGAAGATCTATTTTAAGTATCCTTTCATATACACAGTTTACTCTCGTAAAGTTCAACCTGCTTGTGTGTATGTCCGAACGGCCATTGCATTGAAGATCTTTTGCGTTCTTGGCATTTCGTTTTCTCGCTTCAAAGCAAGGCAGGCAATGTTTATATACACAAGAGTCCTCTCACTTAGCCACGCCGAGAGAAATTTGGAACATCCTGATCAGCGTGTTCTATTGTTCAACGAGAAAGCCAATGGTGTAGCCCTGAACTGTTCCCAATCCCCGCAAACCCGCACCAAACCCGCAGCGGTGCCGTTTTGGAATCTAGACCCGGCATCCGCAGGGTACAAACCCGCAGCATCTCTAATTCCCGAAATAGATAAATCACGGAAGAGCATGACAAAAGTCCAATGACAATTCGTTTAGCATTTTCGACTATACTATATTGGTACAATTCATATATAAAAGAATGTTGTATAAAGATTTGTACTGGTAGATATTGGTTTTATGCCTTGTGACTGCCGACTAAACATATATATTGAGACTCGGGATTAACTGTGGATCAAGGAATATTGGGAAATCTCTTGATTGAGCTTATTATATTTAACATGATATTATAAATGGGCATATTCGGATGTATACGCTGAATTCAAGCCTTAGACCATTAAAATGTATGAAAACTGGTATCTCATTTTTTTTTGTACAGATCCTTCAGTATGGTCGATCTATACTAACACTAAATCAGGGCTTAGGGCCCGAATAACACGTGACCGTAAACAACCTAAGTTTCTAAGTTTTCATAGTTGCGGACAGCCCCACTAAAAACCATACCCATCGAAGACCTGGTCTTCTAACTCTGTTGATACAGGACTGTCAACGAGATTTACTACGGTTGGATTTGAACAACAAGACAGAATTCTCAACTGTAGTGGCCCGGAAGGAACAAGCCAGAGATACCATAAATCGATTTAAAGAGGCTCGGCTCGAATTATCCCGGCGGCTTGCGGGGAACCCTGCGGGGCTGGTGATGTTAATGTTGATACAGTGTACCTCCTACCATCGCTCTCGCATGCATTGCATATAATTTTCCCTCTATCATGATCTACACAACCATAGAGACCTCGGAACCTCGTACATAAATGGATAATGTTCTACAACCCACGATGAAGAACTGGGAATTCTATCCTAGCAGCGCGGAGGGAATTTTTCCGTGAAAGTGCCTTCTCCTAGCTTCATTACTGGAGCATGGCAAACTCCATCTGATAGCCTACCATACTATCCCCGCATGCAACTGCTCCAAGGAAAAATTCATGAAAGCAATGCTATATAAACTCAAGGCCCCGCAACAACCGGGATCGTCCGGCAACACCCTGCCCCTTGGATAAATAGTGCCGTGGCACCAAGTTTCCTGTCTTTAAATAACATTTTCTGGAGGGAAAAATGAGGCTGGCCATATTTTTGTCCACTTTATTAAGCTTTTTGGTTGAGCTTAAAAATGCTGCCCCAAGTAATCCGCCCCGACCGACAATCAGCCTTGACTATGCCCAATATCAAGGGACGAGACTCCCGGGTGGAGTAGATCAATATCTGGGCATGCGATATGCAGCGCCACCGCTAGGAGGACTTCGCTTCCGGGCCCCTCGAGAGCCCGTTCGAGCGTCTTCCGTCCAGGATGCATCGGTGGTAAGAGGATGCAGGTTTCCCAGAAAGACGGGCTGTTAATATCTCTGATAGTTTGGCCCAGTATGTGTAGGTACCGGCCAGAATGTCACTGAAGCCACAGCCGAAGATTGTCTCTTCATCAATGTTTTTACCCCATCCAATGCCACACCAGCATCCGACCTCCCTGTCTGGGTGTATATCCAAGGCGGTGCATATGCGACAAATTCAAATGCAAACTACAATGGTACCCAGGTGATCCAGGAATCCGGGCATGGAATTATACTGGTCAATTTCAATTATCGTGTGGGAGCATTGGGCTTTCTAGCTGGTCAAAAGGTCCAGCAAGACGGTGATCTCAATGTCGGCTTGCTTGATCAGCGGAAAGCCCTACAATGGGTGAAGAAGTACATTAATCTGGTAAGGAAATAGAATCATCATACCTTCGAGTTATATCACCTCAATCTGACAGACCCCAGTTTGGCGGTAATCCAAATCATGTTGTCATTCATGGTGCGTCGGCCGGCGCTGGCTCGGTGGCCTACCATCTTGCAGCATACGGGGGCCGCAATGATGGTCTTTTCGTTGGGGCAGTGGCTGAGAGTCCGTTCTGGCCTGCTCAAAGGAATAAGTCTGAATCCGAGACACAGTGCAGTCAATTCATGGAGGCTGTCGGATGCTCGACGATGTCGTGTTTGCGATCTGCCAACATCACCGCCATTCAGAAAGCACAGGCTACTTCACCAGATCCAACGGATCCCACACGTACAACGCCCTCCTTCTGGGAGTTCGTCCCAGTTGTCGACGGGACTCTTATCCAGGACCGTCTATATCCACTATTTGCACAGGGAAAATTCATCCGTGTTCCTTTGATTGTTGGCGGAGACACCAACGAAGGCTCCTACTTCGCATACAATGCCACGAGGCCGGCCGATATATCCGCGTTCCTGACTAGTCTCTACCCTAGTCTAAGCTCAAACCAACTACAGTCGATCAACCGCGCCTATCAGGGAATGGAGTCCGTTCCGCTACATGCAGAATACTTCCCTGCCGCTTCCGCCGCGTTTGGAGATGCCGTCTTCACCTGTCCAGGCATACATATGAGCACTCGAGTGGCAGGATCCTACCCGGTGGGTGGTGAAAAGGTTTGGAGCTATCGATATAATGTCCAGGATCCCGAAACGCTTAAAAAGGGGCTGGGAGTCCCCCATACCTTCGAGACGGAGGCCATTTTCGGACCGGACTACGGAGGCGGACTTAGCAGCAGCATTACCAATATCAACGCTGGAATTGTTCCTGTTGTCATGAATTATTATATCAGTTTTGTGAAGACGTTGGATCCTAACAGTTTCAGAGCAGAAGGTACATCTTACTGGATGCCATGGGGGACAGGAGAGAGGCTGAAGATACAGACAAATCAGACGGCAATGGAGGTCATTCCAGGAACTCAACAAGATCGGTGTGTACTATGGGAAATGTTGGCTCCTGTCATGGACGTTTAGTGAGGATTTGGGACCATGATCTAGTTCATCTAGAAGCTGCCTGGTCTCTGTTCTTTGCAAAATGTTTGTATGAATTTGCCAAAAGCCGGATCGAATGCCGAATTTCATATAATATTGAACTATGATCTTTGGAGGAAGATTCCTAAGTATTAAGTACTATGTATTTCTTTTATCAGGCTTCGCATATATGTTCTACTCAGTTGTACCCACTTTGATCTATGGAATCAAAGGATCAGGTCAAATCCCCCTCCATCTGAAACTCATAGAGATGGATATGGCCTGTATCAGTTCCGCAGATCAGCATATTGCCATGTTCAATGCATTTCCAATCCACCCAATAGGTGGGACGGTATTCAGGCGGTAGCCATAGGATTCTCTGTCCGCTGCTGGCAGCTACTACCCATCCATTTTCGAACAGCACCTCAGGCTTACGCGTTGAGGACTCACGCTCTAGACGTAGTAGGGCCGGACGTGCCACTGTTTCCCCCTCATAACTCCCGCTTTTCGCATTACACACGTGGTTTCCTTTGTCAAACCCTCCCCATACTACCTGCTGACTATCTGGCGTGAACACCACATGTGTACAAGACCTTGTATGCTTTAGGGTATATTGCAATTTTCCTGTTTTCAAGTCCCATAGGGTAACCACACCACCCCATGATCCTGCTGCGACCTGTTGCTCGTCAGGGGAAATATCGATGGTAGCGATCATATCCGGCTGGCTGTTCACTTGTTGGGGCTGTATCTGTTCGGAATCCCGTGCTGGGTCCCGTGTCCCTTGTGTAAGGTCCCAGAGCTTAAGGGTCAGATCCTGTGAGCCAGATGCCAACACTTGGTCATCTACTGAAAAGGACAAACAGATCGGTATGGATCCATGGCCTTGTAGGATATGCTCGAGATGTCCTTCTCGTGTGTTCCACAACCGGATCATACAATCCGAGCCCCCTGATGCAACTAAGCTGCCGTCTCTCGAGAAAGCTACTGCTTTAACTGACCCGCTGTATGGGAAAGCAAAGACCGGCTCCTGAGCCGCTATCTTCCATAATCGCAGAGAATTGCGAGATCCCGAGGCGAGCATATCATTACCAGGGGAAAAGGCCAAGACACCTTCGATACTACCTAAGTGGTCCACGAGAGTTTGTATAAGTGCACCGGTTGAGGACCTCCAAATCTTGATGGTTTTATCCCGTCGAGTGTGAGCGAGCAGCTGAAAATCAGGTGACAAGATCACTGTTCCAATTTCCGCCTCTGTGTCAATCTTGATCTTCGGGTATGATGTTGATGCGCTTATATCCCATATTGAAAGTGTCGAGAATCCCGCTGTAGCGACCAGAAGCTCGCTTCTTGAAGTAAACCCTACTAGGGACCTTTCGTATTGGAGAGAAATCTCCGACTCGGTCCATGTCACGGTGTCCCAAACCCTGATCCAGTTGTCCCAGCACGTCGCAGCTAGGTGTTGGCTGTCTGGCGAGAACGCTAACGAGCTCAAGCCGTTGGAAAATTTCAGTTTCTGCTTTAGTTCTCCCGTGTTTGAATCGTATACATTTATAACGCTGTAGTATGAATCATCCCAAGAGCTGGATGCTAAGAATCGACCATCGGGTGAGAAGCATGCGAAGCGTACAGCGGCAGGATGGTCTAGTGACTGTAAGACTGCATCCCACTGCATCTCAACCGAAGGACGCCTTATTATCCAGGCGGGAATTTCCTTTTCAAACTTTCGTCGAATAACGCTAGACTGAGGTGAGAATAGAAGGCCAGAGCTATAAAGCTGTAGCGGGGCAGTACTAGCGATAGCTTGATTTTTTAGCGTAAACCGTTTTGCGTCTTGAAGAAAGTCGTGCAGCATAAAGTGTGACTTTTTGAATCAGCGCAACCTTGGGATCAGCAGGAAGAAAGAGAAACTTACAGTGGTTAGTGGTTTCAGGTCGTCCATCATCCTGATACTACCGGGCACCATATGCATGAGACTCATAGCTTCTAACCAGTGGAGAAAATGCTTTCGGAAGAACGAGTAAATCATCTCACTTGCATCGTACATGGAGTCGCTGTGCTTCAGGTGGTGTACCCAAAAGCGACACGAATATCGGATCGCACGCAGTGGGTCTGGATCTGGGAGACGGCTCTCATCGATGGTGGATCCTGAATAGGGGAGCTTATACATGTTTCTTTGTAATTTGTCTTCCATGGTTTTCAATGACAAGCTGAAGATTGATCGGTGGATGTATTCGCAAGGCTTATCTTGAAGTCGGCAGTAGTTATCTTGCAAGTAATCCTGGACCGATTGATGGAACAGATAGACCGTATCTCCCTGGATAATGAGGAATGACCTGCAGTCATGGACGATAGATCGTATCATGCCTTCCCCTATCTGGGCAAGCAATGCCAATTCACCAAGGCTCAATGGGCGACGTGCCAATATTGAAATGGTAAGAACCATCTTGCAAGTTTGAACATGACGTTTGTATTTTGATCCTTCTAACATGGCAAGAAGCTTGTCGTACAGTTCTACAAGACCATCGGGAATTTCACCAAGTATATTCTCCCACATATGAAGTCCATAGTGGTTGAGCTCTTGGCACACCAGTGAAACCCAGAGAAAGGTATTGCTTGCCCGTTTGCGAAGCTCTCTCCTGATTGTCAGTAGAAGGGTTTTATCTTCAGTAGACTCTTCTAATCGATCAATATTCCATTCGATAAAAGCGGTTATAGGTCCCTCAAGTGAAATGTTGTCCACCGCGAGGGTAGCCCTTGGTATTGTTGACTTGATGCCATTTACTGCTGTTTTAATCTCCTCCAGAGGACGACTTGATATGAGTACCTTGACCCTCACATTGCCGACTGAGTTCAACTGTAGTAGTGATCCAAGAAAGTTAATTAGCCTTGTTCTAGCCTTATACTCACATTCATCCAGACCATCGAGTATAACGATAACTGGGTCGATCTTATCATCTTGGAGCATTGTATTGATCAAATCACACGTCACGGTAAAGGCATATTCGCCGTCGAATAAATTCCCCTGAGAACTCTGTGCCTCCTGATGAACATATTGAACGAGATACGGGTATTGACTCAACAATAGCCAGAGAAGGCTCTTCACTGCCATCAAACTCTGATCAACCTGGCCGTCCTTGTCTTGGAAAAAGAAATGTAGAGTTGTTGGAGAGACTGAGTTAGCGAGAGTTGTATTCAATTCTTCCATGATGCCAGCTAGAAGCATTGTCTTGCCGGTGCCCGCTTGCCCCTGGATCCATAGCAGATTCGGCATGTCCTTGAATTGCCACTCTATGAAGTCTTGATAGGCTTTCGTCTGAAATACCCACTTATAGCAGTCTTTAAGAACCTCATTCTTCCGTGCTATAATATCTTTAGTTCTCAGCATGGGATTTACCACGCCCAAGGACTTCAGACACTGGCGATATTCATCGTCAGCCCCATCACGCGTTTTATTATTGATGGCCATCTGATCAAGGATTGTGAGGATCTGCTCCAGCTTGTATTGTTGCAGATCAGATCGGAGAGCGTTTTCTTGTTCAGTGATTATCGCCAGGCTTCCATCCCAGTCATCGACATTCAAAAGACCACGGACAAAGACCGCAACCTGGCTTTTGTGGTAGAAGCAGACACTCTTGATTTCATAAAAGAGCATACACTTGTACATACCCAGCATACCAGTCTCTAGCTGCTTACGAACTTCTTCGAGTTTCCGATGGCTATTATTGCTGCCATTCTGAAGAAGACTATCGGTTATCTTCGAATACCACTGCATTCTATCAACCACGTGGTTGACTCCATCGTACAGAGCTTTGGTTGATCGAACTGGATTTGCAAGGATCTGTTAAATGAGTTAGCAGTAACTCACAACAATATTTTAACGGATTTCCTACGTCGATAGTGGAGGAAACGATTGCCCATGGAAGTGCAGTATGTGGGGTGTTGCTCAGGACGGCGTTGAATATGGGTTTCAAATTCTGCACCACCCCGAAAACCTCGGACGTACTGTCAATCCGCTTCTGGCTTGCATTGACTCTCTCCAGCCCTTTCTGAATAATATGCTGTAGCTGGTCTTCGGTCCATGGTGTATTGTCAGTATCACGTCTGGGTCCATGAATGGGTTCGGCACACGCTGAGCTATTGGTGGGTCGTCCCAAGAAGATGTCCGATACTAGTTGTTCATAGGCCTTTATGTACTTCTCCTTGCCCGGATCCGCTTTTAGCTCCTTGTAAGCTCTATTCCAAAGGTCCTCATGGATTGAAATCAGCTTCCTGTTGTTGTCATTATCAATTGGGGAGATAGGCTGAGAGGCTCGCTGTTCAGTTTGATTTGTGTGCGTGGAATTTGGACTGATACCCTGGCTGGGTTCATCGGAATGTCTGCTTCTTGCTTTGGAGGATATTATACTCCTCAGTTCATTGAACTTCCTCATGACTGAAGAAGATTTATTGATTACTGCTACCCCGTAGACATAAACATTTACTGCTCGCGGTCCGGGCTACCCCGCGTTAGGCTGAAAGACGAGGCAATCTCGAATGGCGCCAAGAAACCTCACATTTCTCACCTCAGTATTTTGGAGCCAAGCAATACATTTGATTATTGATACTCACACTTGTTAATTGTATGTAGCTTGATAGTCACGAAGGGGTGGCTTTTCTATCTTGTACTATGTTATTATTGTTTTTATGATTTGTTTTAAGTGTAGCTCAATGTCCATTGTATCATAGTGAGACTTTGTGTCCTCACTGATCTGTGAACATTTACTTGCTAAGCTGGTTTTGAACAACATTACTTTCTGGTTAATGCTAGTATTGCTCAACGAATGCCACGTAAGCTGACTTCTTTATGACAATCATGAATACTCTATTGGGAATTAGAATAGCTCAAGCTCATGTACATTCTTTTGTCCGTACAAGCAATCATTGAGACTTCGTACCACCTTTAGACAATATCTCATACCAAGTGCGCAGAAAAGATCAACTGAGTAGCATACAATGTATATCCAAGCCCTGTTCCTGCCATAGAAGCAAGCTGACTACTTACCAACGTAGTTGAACTTGTTATTCTTCTCGTCATACTGATATGCCCATTTCGCAGGGTCGTAGCCCCAGCTCCCTGCGATATCCTTGGTCTTATCGCAAACACTCTTATCGTTGCTCCCCAGAGCCTTGCAGTAAGGACTAGTGTCTTCTTAGTATGCCGCATATGATGAGAATACTGGATAGGATATTCTTACCCAACAGCACCAGTGAACTTAGTGATCTGAAACCATGTACCCTTTGTCTCCTTGGGCTTGCTAGGATCGAATTGCACTACTTTATTCGCAGAGTAGAAACCGTTTAGGACACCACCTTGGGAATTCTGAGCAGCGAGGTTGACGGGTGCAAGGATGGCACTTTGTCACACCTGATCAGCCAACAATCCATTGATCGGGGCTCTGACGAGTTTAACATACTTTGTTCCACCTTGAAGGGAAGAAGCAAACGCGTATTCTTCGGGTGACTTGAAGTCCTGTGTGCTCCAAGCCGGGGTCTTAGGTGGAAGGGCTTTGATGCCCCATTTCGTAGGATCTTTGAAAGGCCCTTTGTTCGCACCGCTCCGATCGCGATTACTATTTTTCGTCTTCTCGTTCACGCGCTGCCTAGGGATGCGACCTATGTTATTCAAACGTGCAACATCGGGGGGCCTTAACAGAGCGAGACATACAGGACATTTGGAGCGCCTTTGCACAGAATAGCCCAGCAATCGACGTCAAATGGTAGAGCACTTTGGCCTTTGACCTCCAAGTCCGCCTTGATCGGGTCGCTTTTGGTATCACCGCTGCCTGATTTGAGAGAGACATCTACGGAGCGTGCAACTTCAGACTCGGGGTTGACAGGGACAGCCAGCGCATGCTGCGTGCCAAACACATAGAGCGCGAATACCAGGAGGGACTTGGTGAACAGCATTTTGAAAGCAAGGTGTGACCGGGACTAAGAAAGTGTAATTGCTTGAATAGACTCTGGTGATTTCTTCAGGGCAATTCTTCACCTTTTATCGTCCATCATGATGAACTCAATTCGTACAGCCGTATCGCTTTGCAGTCCCTAGCTATCGAGTCAATCAATAGTGCCACCGGGGGCTGGAAGTTTGTCGCGGCGCATGACGCCCCCAAGGGGCTGAATGTAACGCTAGCTGCACTGTCAGTGGACTGAAACTAGTTGTTGATGCAGGGCCCGTCAGCTTATTCCGTTTGTTAAGGTCGTGACTCGTAAGCGACGGCAATCGGCTGTATCGGTGGTTGCAGTGGGTGCTGCTCAGAAAAAGCAACCATTCCATGTAAAACGGAACCAACCAGATGAAGGGGTGGCGTGGTAGAATGCATACTCAGCTGAAGTGATCCTTCAAATTGGTCGCATAGCTGTGTGTCTGACATGCAGGTACTTTCATATCGCCCTGTTTTCCTGCTTCTGTCAGCTTAGGGCTACATCCCTGACTATAGGCTGACTAACTCTCTGGCGGGGCTCGAAAGCGGGGGGTCTGGCCTGGCCGATCAGGCACTATCGTATTCCACCTGGTCAATATGACTTCACTTAATCTCCTTTTTTTCAACTCGGCTGCCTATTTCATTATCATCGATACTCTCCCTCTACCGTATGATTCAACCGCCTTGAACGATCACATAAGAACGCCAAGCCCATCATGTCCGCCATTCTCCTGTTCTGCACTTCAAACGTCCGCGCCAGCGTTCGTGCTCCCATGCAACACTCCAAGACTACTTACTAAACCCTTCCAGGTAATCAACCGATTGATGAACGAATGTGCCATACCTGAAGATGCGTTCAACATCTTCAGTTTAGTCCGCACCCCAAACCAGGAAACCTTAGACGAGTGGCAAACTCAAACCCCTGTCCAAGAGTTCGACACCGGTTTTGAAGGCAAAAGTGACGCCGAGCTACGCAGATTCTTCCAAGAACGCCTTGATAAACATACCGATACTCAGACAACGAGTATTTCAGACTCGTGGCTTGCGGTACTTGACGATAAATCGCCCTCGCAGGGCACAGTGGTCATGCACTATACATACGACAAGTCAAGTTGGGGTCCAAACCCCATTCCAGGGCCTGCGGAGGTATCCGATGATACGATCTGGTGGAAGTGGAGAGTTCCCTTCCAATCAGCCTGGACGTTCTGGAACGCGGTCGGGAGCATTGGGGCCGATGCTATTGAAATTTATTCGCGGCCTGAGTATACAAGCTCGGATGGTGTTCTGCAGACTGAGATTCCAGAGAAGATCATTAATGGGGAGATTGAGGATCCACATGCTTAGCCCTTTCGTTAATGCACCTTTAGTATAGCTTCTCATTATCGCAATCAGTGGCAGTTCATGATGGATATGATTGAGTTTAATGAGGCCAATGAATGTACTTATTAAATTGATGCCTAAGTTGAGCTTTAGTGTACAATGAAGCCTGTTGTAAATTGACTTGCATCTTTTATCGATATCTAACACGGAAATTAGGCGAAGAAAGCTATTAATATATTGATATGATCCTACAAGCGTGGATGTATGAATTGAGGTTATTGTAGTAGAGCTTCCTACAACTATATCAGCCATCTGATCCTGGTGTTCTTATCTGTCACACTTGATTGCAACTTCCGTTGAGTATCTCACTGAAGTAAACTAAGTATGAAGCACCTCCATCAGATTCATTACGACCTAACCACATTCAATATTGCGACCTTTCAATGTTCGCGTGTCAGGCCAAGGTACTCAATAAACAAGTTGGCCAAATGGCTCTAATCTATCTGTTCCTTCCCCCGGATTTGAGCTTGGCTACGACGAACCTTGGATGGCCAATCGATGGATACTTCGAATCTTGGACCATGATACTTCAATCCAGGGACCACCGGGCGTAGTAGAGGTCACCTCATGAATTTATACAAACTAGAGGATATTGGCGCTGGCATGCCGAATGCAGAAAGATGACTTGGCCTGACCACTCCGTGAAGTAAGAAAAGCGATGTCAGGGCGATGAGCTAGTTGGTAGAAGCAGAAGTTGAAGTAGCCATGGAAATTATTCAACGCTTAGTACAATAAATAATTCAAAACTTCAAGTGCCAAAGCATCAACTCGGGAGCCATGTATCAAGAAACTACGAGAATAGATCGGTAAAGACCACCATGACTTCCAGTACCTTCATGTCACGTTAGACTACCGGGTCAGTCCATCCCATCTGTTACTGAGAGCCTGTAGACGACATCTGGAGGGTCTCAGATTTGGGGGTGAGCGTGAAACCTCGCCCATACCGTTCCTTGAATTCCGCCCTAGATCCGGTATCAGCATCCCGATCACGAATTGCGTTGGTATATTCTCGCATCGGTTGGCCGTCGGCGTCGATCACCCGAAAGTTAATATTGGTCAGATCTCGCGACAGTTGTTGGACTGAGGCATCACTGAGGTGACCTCCAACCTGCCTAGTTCTCCACCCCACTCCTCGGTTGGTGCCATGAATGGTCTTTCCGGTCGTCGACACCATGAACTGTAACGCATCCCCGGCCCCGTAGTTGTGAATGCTGCTGATATTTTCCTTGAGGTGGTTGTCTGCCTTGGAGCAGATGTCCATGCACTGGCGGGCGGTTTCCCACTCGTCCCGCAGTCTTTTCAGTTCGGTAACTTCGTCCTCCGACGTCATCGCTGCTTTCGATTTCACCAGTAATCGGTCGATCAGGTCTTGCATATGCCTTTCCAATCTGGCAATTGTGACGGCAAGTTTATTCTTACACTCCTCCAAGCCCTCGTTGGTGACTCTTTCCGGAAAAGCGTCAGAATCATCTGATCCCGGCGAACTATCACTGCGCTTGGTGGAGAGCTGAATCTGATCAATATGCTCAGATAACTGGGCACATATTTGAAGACATTTCTCGGTGCTCAACCGCTCCTCCTTGATTCGCCGCAGCTCCAACGCATCTGAATCAGATGCGGTCACGGTTTGCCCAAAGATCACCTCAAGCTTTCCGTCGATGCTTTCCAGATGAGACTCAAGGTCAAGTTTGGCAGTCTCGATGAGCGCCTTATAGCTTTCAATGGCCTCGGCGTTGACCGAGCTCTTGCGGCTGGGTATAAAGTTAGCCACGAACGCCTAGAAAACGAGTAGAAGAATGGTAGACGGGGTCGCAGCGCCATGGGAGGGCAGCAAACAAAAAATGCTGATGGGTAGACACAAGACCACAAAGACTCACAGGTTTGCATCGGTCAGGGCAATATTGATAGTCAACTTGTACCCGGCAAGCATTCGCCTGAAACCATCGATATCATCACCCATGTACCGTAACTTGGCCCAGTCTCGGAAGCTGGTTCTGTTAGTAGAGCGTGACGAGCACTTGATTAATTCTTGCTCGAACTCGGTGCAGGCATTGCCGCAGCGTAGGAGAGGCAATTCGAGGGCCGATAGATCTACATCGCTGGGCGTATCTAATAGCTCGCGCAGTGGGGCGAGAACCCCGCTCAAAGCCTCCAGCTCCTCTATCAGGTCGCGGACGCGTTTGGTGTGAGACCGGAAACTATTCACGGTCTCGTGAAGGGTGAGGCTAGACTGGAATGCAAAAGTCGCCAAGGCTAGCAGTCCGGAGGCCAGGCCGATGGTTTCTGCCATGTTTTGGTGGTTTTCTCAGGGTGAAAGATAACCGAGGATGGTGGACCAGGGATTTGTTGCGCGCGACCCAAGGGCGACGGATCGGGCTGGGTATTATACTTTGTCCGCCCGGCGCAGCGGGTCGATGGCGACTGATTATGAGACGTCAGAGGTAAGCGCCCATGTGGGTGGTCTGGGCAGATCTGGTGTGGAAAATGAGGCTGTTCAGAGCGTTCGATCTGAGAAAATGACTTGAGCAGGCGGCTTCTCAGCCAATTACTCCACTTAAAATGTCGCGAGGGAAGGGACCACCCAGATAGTGCGGACAAAATCCGTTTCAGTTGGCCAGACTCCAGGAACGATCCAGGTCTGTGCGAACAGCTGATAGTAGACAAGCGCCCGAGTGCAGGATCGTCGCCGTGAGAGACTCGTGTTCTGAAATGGTTGGGCTCAGTGACGGCCAAGGGTTCTCTTGTTGATCATAAACCTAACTCTCTATGGACTAGCACGAGGTTGAAGACATCCGGAGAGCGTGGTGCCATTCGACGGAGGGGTGGTTGACGTGTGTGGGCGCCTTGCCAGAACATTTCCCCACCATCGCTATGGTAATCTGGCTCGGGTGGGAAATGGAGGTACGCATTCTCATTGGCGAGATCTTCGATGTCGGTGGGCCAAGACGGAGGCGCCATGCCCAATATAAAATTCACTTTGCATGACATTCCCTCGTCCCAAGACCGTTCTCCTGCTTGTTCTCAGTGATTCCCATACCACAGAACCAAATTCAGCATGGTAGAGCCGTTATCAATGGCCTTGAGCCTAGTTGCGCTCGCTGCGTTTGTGTAGCACGTCTCTCCACCAAGCTGGTGAAAGCTTGCAGTCCACGAAGAAACGATTCGCGAATTCCGTGTTGAACTCGAGTCTGTGACCCAAGCGCTCGCTACCTCGAGCGAGCAGCAGTGGGGAGTGAGGTGCAACTGACTGCTTTGAAGCCATCCTTACTTCTTTGCGGGAAAACTGGCCAGGAGTTTGAGGTCACCAACCATGTGGGGTTCTGCGGTATCACCTTGGGTCTGCCCCGGGGATTCCATACGAGAATGGCCTTGCCCATTCGTGTTCGAATCACCTAAAAATAGGGGTTACTATCCAGCATTTCTGCAAAGTCGAAAGGTCTCAATGTGAGACAAGGGATGCCTCGGGGGTTGTTACTAAGGTCTTGGTCAGCGCGAGAATACCCTAAGATGACTACGCGCTCGGCAATCAACGGCGACTTCCTTGCCGAACGTATGTACTTTTCAACATTGATCAACAACACTCCCACCGCGATCTTGCTTTTTATGATGCGGACTGTCCGATCTAACTTTAAAGTAACCGGCTGAATTTCTTCATTATCTAAGTGTGATTTGGATAAACAATTTAGCCTCAAATGCCACCCTGCGTGTGGGCAATGATCGCCAGAGTAGGGGTCTTGTCTGTCGCAGGATATCAATCGTACAGTATTAGTCTGAGCTCTGGATAACTGTGGTATTGTATATGTAATAGCAGGTTGGGGACATAAAAGAAGCCGAAAGCCTGTCTTCAGCATCGCTCTTTCACTGAAAATCTACATCATCGTTCTCGATTCCATACAGCAACACCCGCTTGGAACAAACAACTCCTCATTTATTCACATTTTATCTCAAGGACACGTTTATACTCCCTCAATATGCGTCGCACTTGGGCCTCTTTCTGCGTTGCAGCGACCGAATTGGTCATACAGGCTGCCGCAGCTAGCTCCGCTGGATGCGGCACAACCCCATCCCTCAGCAACGGACTCAACTACATGGACGTCAACGGGCAGCCTCGGGAATACATTATTCAGGCTCCTGACAACTACGACGCCAGCACTCCTCACAAACTCGTGATCGGGTACCACTGGCGCGACGGCACCATGAACAATGTCGTCGAAAACGGATTTTACGGGCTGCAGTCCCTCGCCGGGGACACACCCACCATCTTCATCGCTCCCCAGGGCCTGGGCAACGGCTGGGCCAACACCAACGGTGACGATATCACCTTCACCGACCAAATCCTCGAAGCGATAGAATCCTCCTTCTGCATTGACCAGGACCGCCGTTTCGCCACCGGCTGGAGCTGGGGCGGAGGCATGAGCTACTCGGTGGCCTGTTCGCGAGCCGACGTCTTCCGCGCTGTTGCGGTTCTCTCTGGTGGTGAAATCAGTGGCTGTGATGGCGGTAGTGTCCCCATTGCGTACTTTGGTCAGCATGGAATTAGCGATAGCGTGCTGGGCGTCGAGCTCGGCCGTACATTGCGAGACCACTATGTTCAGGTGAATGGCTGTGATGCCGCGACTCCTCCTGAGCCGCAGCCTGGAAGCGGGACACATGTTGTCACTGATTACACGGGCTGTTCTGAGGGACATCCTGTTCAGTGGGTTGCTTTTGATGGCGATCACGAACCACTTCCTTCGGACGCGGGTTCTTCGGATTCATTTACCCCTGGTCTTATCTGGGAGTTCTTCTCTCAGTTCTAAGTTGGATCAATCGGACCTGCTTTGGAATGGAATTATGGAGGGGAGGATGGAGAAAACCTTTTTCGTGTCGTCTATTGCACAAATACTAGGCTATTCTCTCTTGATACATGTATTCAGGTTGCATAAGAAGTTGCTCCAGTAAATAGCTTCAAAGTTTACTACTAGTCAAACTAGTTGAATTTTATTTGTATGGTTGAGAAGCGTCGAATACGTTAGAAGCCGCGAACGAAGGTTAATGTCAATGACAGTGAAATCTACGTATGGTCCATTTCAATACTCTATCATAATGTAGACATTTCACTATCCTTTGGTCCGGCCGAGGTCACAAGCCTGGACATCATGGACGGCCAAAAGTAAGCCCTATTGACAGTCAATGTGTAACGATTGGCAAGAGATGACTGGGATCATATTCAGCCTAAGAAAGATTTGGAATATTTACAAAACATGGATTGTAATAACCTATTGTTGGTACCACACCCTTCCGTGTCCAGCCTTGCGTGACCAAGTCGAGCGCTCAAGATTTACTAGGTAATAGTAACACCCTCCAATCCTCACTATAGCCACTAGACACAGCCAATAACGTAGCCACCACTTTACACCTTCAGTGTCAGGACAGCAGGCCTCCACGGCAGCTGGTTGTAATCGCCACTGGCATTAGGATCTTGTCCCTGGTAGAGCAACTGCAAATTGCAAGGATCCACAGTCATCGTCTGGTCGGGGTTGTTGCGAACCAGATCACCGTGACTGATATCGTTGGTCCAGGTGGCGCCACTGTTGGCCTTGCCAGCGAAGGGCTGGCTCTCGTCGCCCGCCTGGACAGTCCACTCACCGTCCAGACTGTCAGCCGTAAAGGAGCGGAAGTAGCGACCGTTGGCGCCAATGGCTTCCACAATCATCAAGTACTGGTTCTGGCCGTCGACAGTGTACACCTGAACCGCTTCGAACAGGTTGTTTCTCGTGTCACTCAGGATGATCTCGGATTCGGTACCAAAGTCACCCGGGAAGTTATCGATGGGCATGCTGGCGCGGTAGATCTTGCCATTGTCGCCCGCAAAGAAGAGATACATGTTCGTATCATCACCAATGACAGTTTGGTCGATGACTCCCGTATCGGAGTCGGAAATAGTCCCCGAGAAGAGAGGTTGAGCCGCGGACCAGCCATTAGCGTTGGTGGGATCGCTGGAGGTCTTGTAGGAGAATGAGGTCGGGCCCCATTGATAGGCGAGGATCCAGACATCCTTTGGTGCAAAGTAGAAGAGTGTGGGTGCAACAGTCCCCTGGTTCATGGCGTTCTGGCTTGCCGAAGCCATCTCCGACCAGTCGCTAAAAGGGCCGAAGTTCATTGATCCGTAGTTCCCGGAGGTATCGGCGAATGATGCATAGACGATATGCTGACCGTTGTACACAACATTGGTGAAGTCCTTGAGTGAAGCCCATCCTGACTTAGGCTCCGCGAGCACATCAGTTGATGTCCAGCTGTAGCTCGATGGTAGGGCACACTGCGCCGCGACTCGCGCTGAGGAAAGCAATACTGCGCCACATAGGGCTTGATCAACAATTGTCTTTGCAAATTTCATTGTGAACTCTGGATTAAATGATACACAGGGAGAACAAAGGTGGAGAATAATGGTGTAGCAAAGTAGAACAACGAAACCAGGCCAGATTTATAGCGCCAATACATCCTTGATTTAATTGCCCATCCGGGGCACCGGCTAAAATCCGAAACCAATCAGCCGCGAATGTGTCTCATGCGTTCAAGTATATCCACAGAGCTGCAGGGTATATCGGTAGATGCTACCCACAGGAGCACCTACCGGACTTTTGCCTTTTTCATCGCTAGTACGCGTTTCACTTGGCTTTAAACAATCCTTCAGCCGAAAGATCTGCAAGCCATTCTTCACAACCCCAAACCCGCCAAGAAACGGGCCAGGTCCGACTCGCGGGGTTTGGCCCGGCCTTAACCATATAATAGCCTATATCCATTTTAGTAGTGATGCACAGATACCTTCACCATGAACAGTAGTTTAGCGCTGCGCCATGGGAGGGGTTTGCATGGGGCATGAAACGTTGCCACATCCATCTGTTTAGGTTGCATATTCATCTCCCCACGGCGCTATGCTGATTTCTTGCACAGCTGACCCCATTGGGATATATTGCTCCTCAAGGGTTACCATACTTCACAACTCCGGTGGAGGTAGCCTCTTCCAGTCAAAATTACTAGTAGCTACGGAGTGCTCATATTGCTCTCTAGTAAAGTTTCATCACCAACGGAAGTTTTCCTCATGTGGCATTGCTATCCATCCACTTGATCCCTCAAAGTCGGCGAGCATAAAAGCTACTTCAAAAGTTGGTCGCATGCTGACAAGATACCCAAGCCTTCATTCGTACCATAGATAGAAGATAATTTTTCTTAATTGCATCTTTACGAATTCAGGGAATTTTCACGAGCCATCATGAAAACCAATCTTCTCCTCTGGGGGCCATTGATGGGCATGGCTACCAGAGCAGTATCCCAGATCTCCAATCCAACATTTTGGGAGGACTTTGCGGACCTTGACATCATTCGCGTGGGTGATAGGTTCTACTATTCCGCCTCGAATATGCACTACTCTCCCGGTGCTCCAATCCTTAGTTCATACGATCTTCTGAATTGGGAGTTTACTAGCCACTCCATTCCAGAGCTTACATTCGGCCCAAATTACTACCTCGAAGGTGGCGACAACGCCTACATTCGCGGTACATGGGCGTCGACATTGAACTATCGACCAAGTACGTCGACCTTCTACTGGATGGGCTGCATTGACGGTACCACGTACATTTATACCGCCCCCAACGCCGAAGGACCATGGACCCAAGCCTCCACGATCAATAAATGCTACTATGATTGTGGTCTGCTCATCACAGACGATGACAAAATGTATGTTGCCTACGGGAACAATGGGATCACCGTTGCCGAGCTCTCCGAAGACGGGCTCAGTGAAGTGAGCTCGCAGATGGTCTTCCCTCCGGACGATGCTGGATATCTGGAGGGATCCCGATTCTACCAACACGATGGGAACTTCTACATCTTTGTTGTACATCCCGCCAACGAGGAGCATGTTCTTATGTCGACCTCTGGTGTATTCGGCCCTTATGAGCGTCGTCTACTGATATCCGATGCTGGAAATCCTGTCTCGGGGGCAGGATACCCGCACCAGGGAGGCATTGTTGACACCCCGAATGGGGATTGGTATTACATGGCCTTTGTCGATGCCTATCCGGGAGGACGACTTCCCGTTCTCGCTCCTTTGACCTGGGGAAGCGATGGCTGGCCCTCGGTGGAGTTAGTTGACGGTGGATGGAGCACAACTTATGACACGCTGAACATCACCCCGCCGTCTACCCCCATCTCATCCTTTGAACCATATACCGATAAATTCACTGGGGATACCCTTTCACCGCAGTGGGAATGGAACCACAACCCTGACAATGAAAAGTGGTCCATTAATAACGGGGTCACGCTCACCACTGCCTCGGTAACGGACGACCTATACGCAGCGAAGAATACCTTAACCCACCGAATTATAGGCCCTGTCTCCACTGCCACCATCCACCTTGACATTAGCTCCATGTCCAGCGGCGACCGTGCGGGTCTTTCCCTGCTCCGTCATTCCTCCGCTTGGATTGGCGTAGTCAATGATGGAGCTACCTCTCACATCGCCGTTACCACGGGACTGGAGATGGACTCGGATTGGAACACCGTTTCCACCGGGACTGAGAGTGCCACGGCCGAATTCTCTGGGAGTGAGATATGGCTTCGTGTGGAAGCAGATATCACGCCGTACGCGGGCAGCGGGCAGTTCTCGTACAGTCTGGATGGTGCGACGTTCACAAACTTGGGGGACGTCTATGAATTGAACAATGAATGGGAGTTCTTCATGGGGTATCGCTTTGGTATCTTCAACTTTGCAACGACGGAGGCTGGAGGAAGTGTGGTGTTGAACTCGTTTGCCTTGTCGTGATTTTTACCACATTTTCCACGCTACAAGCCAACCACTTAGCATTTGTCACGTAGGTACTGTGGAAACAGTTTGTTTTAGCATCGTGTTACTATGTATTTTATATAGTCTCCCTAGGTATCTGGATAATGAATACCAGTACATTTCTATCCCCTGTGAGGTCGACACTCGCTGAAAATACGTCTATGGAGGATGGGGTAATGCCTGGCAGCACTGAATGTGGGGATAGCGCATTGGTTCCACCTCGCAGCCGTTCCTGAGTCTCGGCACACCGGGTCCAAGCCCCGTAGAAAGCTGAGTCCAAAAGCCCCACCCCAGTTTTCCACGTTTCATTGGGTCCTGAGAGGTCATGTCGGGCCAAAGCCATCTGACAACTGCCGACTCCAGGTCTCTGCTACCTGTCTTGACAGATATATGTCGATCAATACTAAAATCGACATGCTTATTCATCTGCGCTCCCCCAGAATTTAGGCTATTTACCTTCACGGAAACTGACCAGGTTCCTGCATGTGATGCCTAGTGTGAGAACAAGACCGACTTTCTCATAACCAGCCCTATGATGCAGTGGCCTTGCGCTCCGCTTGGAGCTTGAGCTGTGCCGAATGTCTGTAGCAAGTTTGACTTCCAGGCGCACACCGGAAGCTGGTTGGATGGTAGAGTATGTACCTAGTACTTGTATCCAGAGCGAAGTGACGCAAGGTTTGCTCAGTGTCGGGCATCACCTTCTTTCCCATCGACCGGGTGAAATGCAGTCTTGCCGAAGGTCTACCTAGCTAATATTCAAGCATTAGGATCTGGGCGTCTTAACAGGATGCAATAGACTTTGGTGACATCGGGGGTGTGCATCTGATCCCCAGAGTCCTCTAGCCGTCGACTAGTGCCCCACAGAGTAGAGTGGAGCAGGGAACGCGCTCCGAGTTCCTGGTTCTAGGGTTCTAGAGAGTCAGCGGGTTAGATAGATTCGTTAAACCTGGTCAACTCTGATGATCTGTTGGATTCAGGTGATTCTGGACTCTACTATTCTCTTTCTCTATGTAGTTCTCGCCTGGAATGTAGCTTGGAGTAGTGGACTTAGTAGACATATGGCTGGTGGCGATAGTAAGCGTGGCGATAGAATGGAGGCTTTGGCATCATTACTTGCGGTAACGGGTTTTCTAAACTAGCTGGGTAGAGGTTGAGAAGAATCAAACATCCTAGGCTATGGCCATATGCCTGTCCAAATTATGGACCATCGGTGAAAAATACCACAGAGCAGTATTGTTGTACCTTTCCTGGCTTGGGATTCTTAAAGATGTGATTAAATATATCTCTAACGCGGTTAAATCTTAGTACGCTGAGTTTGTCCCTTCTTATGTTGAAGACTGGCCTAAAGCTCATTTAGAAACTGTGTCATATATGGTGCTGTTAATTCTTAGCACGTTCTCTAGTCGATACTGGAACGGTAAGGAGATACCTCACACCCTGTTTCCATCATTTTAGCACCCGGTGCATTCGTTTATATACATAAACTGACTTTATCCATGAAAGAGATTCTCAGGGGCCAAGGGAACGGGGCAGCTGGCGATTCTCTGTTTATTCTTTTGATTGATCTTTCCTTAATCTACAACTTGGCTTACTATCCGAGGTTACAAGACATTTCTATTGCTTTTATGTGGGATACGGTACGTTTCATAGCGAAGAGATTGTTATTCATCCCAGAATATTAAAATACTTTGTTAATCGAAAGAAAGCTGAAAAGAGAGGAGAAAAGGGGGAACATAGCAGAATGATAAGGACCAATTTCGTGTTGCGATCCATCTTAGATGATACCCTGGGCCTGCCAAACTGAGCGAGCAATCTCTTCCAAAAGCGCGGCCCCGAAAATGAAATCACCTTGAAGAGGGCCAGAAGGGGGGTTGATAAACGCGTCTTGAAATTGGATGACCAATGGCGCTCCGGTAACAGTTGTACTACCCCCAGAGCGAGATATCGTAATTGTCTGGGTCTTGGTTGGACGCAGGGGGAACTGGGATAAACTCCGAAGATTATGGGAGTGCTGGACAGCCCCAAAGTTCCAGCACTCCAGCGCAATTTTGGCCTCAACCCGACTGATTGAAATCAAGATCACAAGTTTCACCAAGCCCCTCGATCTGGCAAGCCACCAGGAAGCATCAATACGGAGCCTTGGCACACTCTCCGAAACACCGGTTTCGATAACAATAGAAGGCCACTTTTTGTCCCGCCCTGGAATAGGTACCTCCGGGATAAATGACGCATCGGGCTCTTTGCGATATGGGTCATCCACAAATGTTTGGGCCCCAGCAGTTCTCAGCTTGCCCCTCAGTCCCTGCCTTGAAGCCTCCTCCAGGATGAGGAATGAGAGGGTCCCAGTAGCCCCTTCGTGAGCCCCTGTGGGTATCTTGACAATCAACTTGCGACAAGTAGCGTCATAGAAGATCCTCATGCCGATCTCGCGACGCAAGCCTCCATCCTTGCTTAGTTGCTCAGCAACGTGCGACCCAACATATGAAAAGACGGTATATTCGGATCCATCTTTATTCGCGTCAAGCTTCGCTTCCAGCGCTCTCTTGATTGCCCGTTTGTTGGTGGCGACAAGTTCTTGAGTTCCTTCAGGTAAATCCATCAGGAACTCACCGTCTCCAAACTCTGCCATATTGATGAGAGGAGAGGATCTTGCGGCATGTGGGACTGGGGTCTCCGGGTTCGAACTGATGGCGGGCGTGTTCATGTTTCTTGTTCTATTACGTAACTTTGCGTCAGCCAACCTAGTTTTATAGTTAAAAAGTACGATTTGATGACCCATACTCGGGAAGCGGAGGTTTGAGGATATCAAGTTGGTAAGGTTGTAAGGACTCATGGGATGCTAGTATCACCACAACGTCAAACTTACCGTTGCCCTCTTTAGGCAAATCACTTGGTTATTCAATTCACTGACTTGGAGTATTGAATAATATTGAATTTCTGAAACCCAGAGCATTGCTAGAGTTCGGCTATAGATTCACCAAGACCGTAGGAATGATAGCTCAAAGCTATGAATGGCCCTGTCTGCAATCACCTTATATATATCTGCTGAGTTCGCACCCCATGGTTAACTCATCCTTAACTTCCTTCCATCTCGCAGCCAGTTTACCTAAACCCACAATACGAGTGATTTATTGCAGACGAAGATACCAGTGCTTGCGCTAATAATCATCACGGCAGTTCTAGATGTCCCCTTCAGGACTATCATAGTCTACTTTATGACTTTGGTTCTATATCAGTACTACTTCTAACATCATTGAGGCCTTACTGGAGGTTGAACCTATATATTGATCATTATATTCCCAAACTATTTACCTCAATCGCTACTGTTAAAAGACTCCAGCTTGCATCTCACTAGAATCGCTGCATTTAGAAAGTCTTCGCAGACAGATAGATTGTGTTTCAATATTCATTGTGTTATGATGACCTATCCAATTTTGATAATGCGGGGTATTTAGATACCGTCGCCAACCACATGGTTAGAGGCAGTACTATTGACTATGAATTGGAGTAGAAATATCTGTGGCGTACCGTTTATTAGGTATTGTCAACACTTTGAAATTGCTCGAAGCACGCTCGCAAAATGCTCCATAGAAAGGACTACCGAGTGAAATATTCGAATGGGTTTAGTTCTTGCATGGTCAGATGATCTATTTATAACCCGACGCTTATAAATCCATATGGGTTGCCTAACTGAGGATATAAGCCCAACTACCGAAACATCTTGACATTGACCTGGAAAAGACTTGACTACTTTCTTGCATCGAGACAAGTAACAAAATCATGTCCTCCGAACAACCAAAATTCAAAGCAGTCTTCTTCGATTTCATGGGCACATGTCTCGACTGGCACACCAGTGTTGTCCAGTCTTTGCCCCCGTCAATTCCCAGAGATGAAGGATCGAAGTTGGCACTGGAATGGCGCAGGCAGTACTTTATCGAAAACCAGCAGCGCTTCCAACGGAATCTACACCCCGAAGATATTGACATCACCCTGGCTCGTGTGTTTGAAGCCGTACTCAACAAATCGTACTCGGAGTATACATCCCACTTTGACATCGAAACCAAAGCACAACTCATCAAAGCATGGCACGCTCAACCTGCCTGGCCAGAAGTGCCGATCGCTATACGCAGTATCCGGGAAGATCTCGGTTTGGAAGTCTTCGTGCATGCCAACGGGACAACGCGCCTCCAGCTTGACCTCGTCCGCTCTTCGGGGCTGAATTTTAATATGCTGTTCTCCAGCCAGTTACTGGGACTGTACAAGCCTAATCTGGAGGCGTATCGGAGAGCGTTACAGCTTGTTAAACTTCAGCCGGAAGAAGTAGTCATGGTGGCAGCGCATGCGTATGATTTACGAGCAGCGAAGAAGATCGGCATGAAGACGGTTTATATCCATCGATGGACGGATGATGTCGATGAGAATATGGATGAGGTTGAGAAAGAGTTTGATGTGTTCTTAGAGGGAATGGAGCAACTTCCTGCTACGATTGCTCGGTTGTAAATAGATACTTCCATGCAGGCTGATACCACCCATCCGCATAAATTCTATTTTCGTATATTTTCTTACTAAGGTACTGATAGACTACTTTTCATACCTTGCCCACTATCTGTTCAAAGAAATATAAGTACTCAGCGCGGGCTTTAAATTCTTATTAGTCCTCTAGTATATAGTTTTGACTCGGGCGGATACTCGGACAACTGTACGAGGTGTATGCCGTTCGGGTCCAAGGAGGTTGAAATAGGTTGGACTCTGCCAATAATCACATCACGACCTGCCAAGACTCTAGAGGAGTCCTTTGTAAAATTTACTTGATTGCTAAAGCGGTTGAAAGAAATGAAGCCTCATAGCGGCGGAGCGGTTGGAAGATCAGACGGCTTTCTTTCCAAGGGAATATTATGACTTTGTGCTGCCTGGATTCACATCTTATTATGTAACTGTACTCACATTGCGTCCAGAATTATATTGTAACATGACTGGCTCGAACACTTGTTGTAATTTATTATCGACTGGGAAGTTGTTTATCCCGAAGGTGCAAAGACCCGCTGCGGTCATCTCGCAACAAGACCTCTCTCTGTACATAAAAATTATATTCTCAGGAGCCGGTAAGCATAACTAGATTGGGAGTGCAATATTTCCCCTGGACCATTTAGTACTCATGGAAAGGGATCCGAGACAAGCGAAACCAATTCCAATGCCACTGAGAGTAAGGTGGAGTAATACAGTGCCCAGTCATATAAGCAAAACCCTATCATTACTGTCGATCAAGTTAGGACGGGGAATAGTCACGGCTGCGCTTTATCGTGGTCCTGAACAAAAGTCCCGCGGAAGACAGATGATCAGGACGGGTCTTAGGCAGAAATATTCGTAATTCTGTTTGATACACCCTTGTACCTAGTAGTTGCTACTAATATTCCTTTATCACAGCGTTGCATCTGCTAGCGCACAGCCAAGTGTGCACAAGCATTGGTTTTTTACCATATTGTCTCCGTCGAACGTTCTCCTTTCTGATATATCACAAGCGATCAAGCATGCACGAAGAAACATGTCCGCTGCTAGGCAGCGCTCCACGAAGATACACTATACTCTGTACTCCATACGCGACTCCGCCATAAGAACACCACACAAATTCCCCCAAACCTCGATATAGGGAAATTTAGGCCTCGCCAAAACCCGGGGGCGCTACCCAACGGTACCCTTGTATTGACAAACACACCACACACGGAAAATATAGTTGCAGCTTATTTAGAAATTCCAGATGACTATATTTATCCGTACTAATTCGGATAAGTCCGCTGATTTGGCCTATCTAACTAACTACCAGCATCTTTCAAGTAGTTCACTAAGCCCTATAGACATATAGAGGCCTCATTAGCCTACAAATTAAATTACTCTGTCTAATTCAGTGACCAGTCACAGCTAGTATCACAGGATTCCGGGGTGGAAAGCTCCGGAAAGCTCCGACCGCGTCAAGAACAGCGGCCTAGCGGCCCGGTGGCAGCCAACCCGGGGTTAGGGTAGGTCAAGCTCACTAGCGTGAGGCATTGGAGCTAAAGACCCGACGGGGTGTGATACCCGTACTCCGTAGGAGTGACGGACCCCGGCCGTAGTGTATAATTGCCACTGGTTGGGGTTACAAAGTACTATCGTACACCAATCACCAATAAGTAATGTACATCCTATTGTCCATGGACAGGGGTGTCATGTAACCTTTGGATGTAACTTTGGAAGAAAAGTCATTATCTCTAAGTGCAGTGAAGCAAAATGAGGAGATAAAGAAGGCCCAGACGCTGATAAGTGGGCTGGGAGCGCGAAATCGGCGCTACTGAGGCCGCGACTGATAAGGCCCCTGTACCGTGCCATGGCATGAAACATTCTGTAACTACTCCGTATCAAGGTTTGGACTGGAGAAGTGGATATATGGCCAAAAGCCCGTTTCGTGTGACACATCAATACTGACTGACCTGTTGGCGCTTCACAACCTCACAGCCTCAGAGGACAGGCAAACCCATTCTCCATTCCTGTGGCTCTTAATGCTATTTAATAGTACATATGTACATACATCGAAAGGGGTGATCGATAGGCCACCGAATTCTCCGACCGGGGGCAATAATGTCCTCCCCATCTACGATAAACCCATGTGGCGACGACTCATTTGGCCCTTTCGTTACCACGTTCTGTCGCGGAGGCTTTGACTTCACCCTCCTTTTCGAAGCAAGCATTTTGACGATCGTTCCGGCCGCCTGTTTCCTATTGTTGGCGCCATTTCGGTTACTTCAACTGTCCAGAGAGTCACCCAAAGTAGTTTCATCTGCAATACGTGTGGTGACATGCGTACGTATTTCAATTCCTTCCCCGATCTCCATCCGATAAAACAAGATTTTGAGAGAGGTTTCATGCAGGTTCTTGCTGTATCTCTGCTCGTAGTTCAGATCACCCTGGTTGCCCTTGGCGCTAGACAGCCTACTATCCGGAGACGCGAGTCACTTGCTGGCGCCATCCTTGAGCTTGTAGCAGGGCTTGCCGTTGTCATTATCACTGATCTTGAGCACATCCGTTCCATTCGACCTTCATTCCTTGTCTCTGCCTACTTGTTTGCCACGATACTTTGTGACCTGGTACGAGTGCGTAATGCTTGGCTATTATCAGACAGTCAAGCCTACGCAGGCTGCCTTTCTTTGTCTCTCACTATCAAATTACTCCTCTTAATCCTGGAGAATGTTGAGAAGCGAAAATGGTTGAAGCCTAGTCAGAAGATGAGGTCTAGTGAGAGCCTTAGCGGACTATTCAGCCGCGGCCTCTTCGCTTGGTTGAACGGCCTGTTGTGGAAAGGATACTCCATGCTGCTGTCCGAGAATTCATTGCCTAGAATCCATGAAAAGCTCGCGTCGCGCGACTTATCTGCCCAATTTGCGGAATCATGGACCTCGTCTAATCAGAGCCGCCAAAATGCACTACTTCTGACTGTAATCAGCTGTCTACGATGGGAGATACTGACGATCGCTTTCCCTCGAATCTGTGTTGTGGGGTTTAGTATCGCCCAGCCGTTCCTGGTGGGTAAGACTGTCACCATCCTAGAGCAGAATGATTCATTCTCGCTAGATAAGGGTTACAGCTTGATCGGAGCCACCGCTATTGTATTTATCGGAGTTGCTGTAAGCTACATATCTCCGGATTTTCATTACTAGCTTCATTCTGTCGGCAAACACCGTACTGACCTTTATTATATAGGTGTGTACAGCCTGTTACCAGCATTTGGGGTATCGTGTTACAACGATGCTCCGTGGTGGTCTTATGGCGATTGTCTTTCAGCACCTGATGAATCTACCGTCAGGTAGCGTTGACGAGTCTAGTGCTATTTCCCTCATGGGCACTGATATAGAGATGCTTGCCGAATACTTCCAGTCAACAGTTTGTGAGATTTGGGCCAATATCATACAGCTGGGACTAGCCACTTGGCTTCTTCAAACCCAGGTAGGCGCTGTTTGTATCGCACCCATTGTGGTCGTAATAAGTAAGTCTACTTATCGACGCAGCTCACATATTCATTACCTGACCATTCCCGCTTAGTCTTCACCGTCGCATCGCTCGGCATGGGAAATACCGTGTCTGCACGGCAGCAATCCTGGCTCCAGGCTACTGAGAAACGCATCAACTTCACCACTGGTATCCTCGGGTCTATCCAAAACATCAAGTTCCTTGGATTGACCGAAATAATGGGGGCTATGATTAACGCCTTGCGTGTTGACGAGCTCAGAGTCTCCAAAAGATTCCGTCGAATCCAGACCGTTCGTGTCTGCATGGGTGCGTTCTTTCTTAACCTTCGCTTATGTATATGTATCTTAATAGATCACGATTGAGCTGATACAGAGCGTTAGTCAACCTTCCCACTATTGTTGGGCAGCTCGCAACCTTCGCTGGCTACGCCATAGTAGCTATGGTGCAAGGCTCTGGGGGTCTAAAGGTCTCGCAAGCCATCACGTCTCTCTCACTGGTCAATCTTCTGGTTACTCCGCTCTCTAATCTCTTGCTGGCGATTCCGGATACATTCGCGTCAATAGGCTGTCTCACCCGAATACAGGACTTCCTCAGGAAGCCAGGTCGCATTGGTAAGTCGTCCAGCCATTACTATCGTCTGACAGGCTCTCGAGATATATCCTCAACCAAGTAACTTATTCAATACTACGAACAGAAAGGAGACAAATAGCCCAGATAGCAGGCAGACCTCCCCTTCTATCCCCATCTTCGTCTACTATCGAGCTACCCACCCTTGAACAGCATGTGGCCAGTCCTGTTCTAGAAAAGCAACCTGACATCGTTCTGTCCCTCAACAATGTCCACTTTGGATGGAAAGACTCTCTACCCGATAAACCTCGCCTCTCGCTTACTTTGAGATCCTCTCCTAATGGTAACCTTGTTATGATTGTCGGTCCAGTAGGTAGTGGTAAGTCCACCTTCCTTAGAGGACTTGCTGGTGAAACACCCGTGCTGGAGGGGGAACTCTTTATGAAGTACCCGGATCTGGCCTTTTGTGAGCAAGCCTCATGGTTGACAAATACATCAATCCGAGAAAGCATTATTGGAGAAAACCTATCATTTTTGTTCGATTCTGAGTGGTATCACACCGTGGTCAGAGCATGTGGACTGGAGCCAGATCTCAAGAGATTGCCGGCCGGCGATCAAACACTTGTAGGCAGCAAGGGTGCTAAACTAAGCGGTGGGCAGAAGCAAAGAATAGTGAGTCGCATATTTATGTGTTATCCAGCTATGAGTGGAACACTTACAGCTTGATTTCTACCGTAGGCTATAGCGCGAGCCGTTTATGCGCGAAAGCGTATTGCTTGCTTCGACGATGTCCTCAGTGGTCTAGACAATGGAACAGCTCATCTGGTATTCAACAATGTTTTCGGTCCGGCTGGATTACTACGCCGGCTGGGCTGCACTGCGTTCTTGGCTACCCACAGCGGTATGTATTCATTCCCTACTTCCTTAAACATTTAAGTTGATACAACCTAGAATTCACACTGATCCTCCTCATCTAGGCCACCACTTACCACATGCGGACTTTATCATCGTTTTGGGGAACAATGGCAAGGTCCTGGAACAAGGCAGTTATGCCCAGCTCCGAAGCCACGCTGGAGGCTATATTCACACACTAGGGATGCAATCAATACAGACGGATAGGTTAGCCGAAACGCTTGACATTAGTGAGAAGGATCACCAGTCGCAAAACACTGCAACAGGCTCTCTGAGTGCTCCTTCTGCTACTCATGTTACTCGACAGGCAAATGATCTAGCTGTGTATAAGTATTACTTCTCGAGTTTGGGCGGGCTGCGCGTCTCCATGCTACTGCTTTTCCTGATCGTCAATGCTGGAATTGATGGGTTCCGCTGTACGTCCCAACCCTCTCTTGAATCTTCAATTATTGTATTATGTGACTTACTGTTTTATAGACGTCTGGGTGGACATATGGTCCTCGAGTCGTGACGGCGCCTCAAATTCACGCTTAGGCTACCGGCTTGGACTGTATGCAGCATTGGCTGTCATTGAAGCCAGCGCCCTTATCTTTGCTGTATTGTAGGTTTCGCCATCCTCTCTTGCTACACACCGTGCGCTAACTTCACTGGCATTTGACAGCTGGACATGGGTGGTCATTGTCCCTGCTGCGTCTAAGAACTTGCACTCTATAGTGCTCCGGGCTTGTATGAAGTTTGTGTTTGCCCTTTTTCACATAGCTAGAAGAGCACGCCGTTAACTAAAGTGCTCTAGTGCACCTTTGTCCTTCTTGTCTAACACCGAGACTGGTGTTCTTGTAACACGCTTCAGCCAAGATATGAGACTGGTCGACATGATCCTGCCTCGTGGCTTTATATCTACAGGGTTCCGTACGTACAGGGGGCATACGCAATATGAAATCAACTCCATGCTGACTTGCCCGGCGTCTAGTGCTTTTCGGCGCTCTTGCTCAAGGTGCCGTCGTTATAGCTTCACTTCCCTACATGGCAGCGGCACTACCGGTTCTCATTGGGGTGCTTGTCCTTGTCCAGCGGTTCTACCTGCGCACATCTCGCCAACTGCGATTATTGGAGTGAGCGTCAACCCGTACCCATGTTACATCACCATCGGCTGTGAACTGGTCAATCTAACTCAATCCACTCCAGAATTGAGCTTAAGAGCCCTCTATATACCCACTTTATCGAATCACTCGCCGGAGTGGTTACTATCCGCGCCTTCTCGTGGACTCACGCCTCTGTATCCCGAATGCTGTCCATGCTTGACACAGCCCAGAAGCCCTTCTATCTCTTACTGAGCATCCAACGCTGGCTCAGCTTGGTACTCAATCTAATCGTAGCCGCTCTGACAGTGCTCCTGGTTGGAGCAGGCTTGGCCCTCCGCAGACATGTCGACCCTGGTCTACTGGGCGTCGCCCTAGTACTGATGGTTGATCTAGGCCAGACTCTGTCAGAGCTGATTCAAAACTGGACACTGCTTGAGACGTCCCTGGGGGCGATTGCGCGGATCAAAGACTTCGCCGAAAATACGCCCAGTGAGGACAGAGGACTGGATACTCAGACTGCAGAACCACGTCCGGAATGGCCGCCTCATGGGGAGATCATGTTTGTCGATGCCAGTATCGCATATGATGCCACGGAGGGGGCTAAGCCCGTACTAGATGGCATTAATCTTCACATACGTGCCGGCGAAAAGGTTGGACTGTGTGGTAAATCTGGAAGGTAAGTCACTGCCACACATATATGTACTGGTCGCGATCTAGGGGGAGGTCTCTTTCCAACAGCGACAAGGCTAACCAGCACCTGCACTGTTAGTGGAAAAAGCTCCCTTGCATTATCCCTCCTCCGCCTCAACGAGATAGTGTCAGGACAGATCCTCATCGATGGACAAGATATCTCCGCCATGTCACGATCCACGATCCGACAGCGCATCAGCTGTCTCAGTCAAGAGCCATTTCTGTTCCCAGGCACTATCCGGCAGAATGTCGACCCACTGAATATACTTGAGAGCCAGGACATTATCAATGCGCTGCGGTGTGTTGGCGTCTGGAATGCTCTCGTTGCCCACCATGGTGGCAATGATGAGAGGATGCTAGATAGCAAATTCAACGAGGAGATCTTATCCAATGGGCAGAAGCAGTTGTTTTGTCTAGCGCGGGCGCTGTTGAAGAAGAGTAAAATCCTACTGCTTGATGAGCCAACTAGCAGGTATGTTCATGGCCTCTATTAACATAGTCTGGTTTTCTAACTAGAGTCTCGCCGTAGTCTGGACAGCAAAACCGATGCCAGAGTACAAAAGGTCATACGAGAGTCATTCGCAGACTGTACCGTGATTATGGTGGCCCACCGGATTCATACCTTGTTGGACTTCGACCGGGTCGCTGTCCTAGATAGTGGTCGAATTATCGAAACAGGCCATCCGCGCGAGTTGCTGGATAAGCCGGATGGAGCGTTTGCGAAGCTGTTAGAACTGGAGGCGTGACACATGTTTTTACATGGTCGATCCTGTGGCATGTGTTGGTGGTTGACGACTTTGTGATTAGAATCGCCGTCACACTGGATGACCGCGACTTATTTTAGCGTAAGCGATATGGCCGATATGCAAATACGACTACTGATATATGAGGTGGATTAACCAGTTTTGCTGGTAAGATGCAACGCAGTATCTACTATGCCGGATAGATAGGTAACGATACGCAGCGAAAAGAGCAACGTTATTTTATTAACTGGATATTCAAACGAATACTAAGGAAATAATTCTTATCTCCTTTCTTTTGGCCCCATCACCTCTTTGAATAACCGGGAAGCGTCCTTCGCCTGGTGAGATTGCGAAAAGACAAATGGGCTGATTGCCCAGGTAATCTCCCTAGCAGACTGGTTCAAGACTGAATGGCGAACCAGGTACGATGTATGAAGAGCCGGGGTATTCGGGGGATCCGTGCGGCCTGCTGGCTACAGGCCGATTCTATATTGGCTCCGTAACACCAACTGGGAGATTATGTGGCAACCAGGAGCAAAGCGTTCATGTATGGTTCAGTTAACTGAGTGGAGTAAATGAGGGATAAAGCATATCTCCTTTTAGGATATGTTATGTACTGCAGAGCTTTCAGAGTGGTAAAGCCCTTCAACAATCGCGCACACCGCGGTTCATACGTCCAGTGGGTCTTGGAAGGTAGTAATACCGTACTGCTGCCCGGATGGCAGGGACATCGAAGCATTGACTGGGTAATTATTTGACAAAAGACTCCTTCTAGTGCAGACAGTAGATAAAAGATACTGTTCCCTTTCACCGATGATGTGTGCTACATATCATTAAGACTTAGGGTAGACTAGTACATACTAGACAAGAAAATCGATTTGCGAGCTGCAATACCTCCCAAATACATAGGTAGATTAAAGCGACATGAAGAGCGGAGCGTAGAATATGAATGACGTCTACCCGCCTGACAGCACGGAAGAGTTACACATGGCCCTAGTGATGATGCGATCTAGTTTAAAAATAGGTTGCTGCCTCAAGACCACAGGAGACAAAGGATTCTGCATCTCGAAGATTGATTGAGTCTTGGCCCATATCAGAAATCTTTTGTTGGATGGGTTGTTGTTGTACATAGAATCTGGTAGGTCTGATGAGTGTCCTATTAGAGGACTGAGAAATTGAATACAAGAGTACATCACGCACTGCGCTTGGAGATGCTGGTTGGAATGATAGTTGCCATCACCTATGTATCCATAAATTAGAAAGTTTGGTATATGCTTTGCCTCTTGGCTATCTCAGTCCAATGGCGAAGGACTTCTATGGACCAAAAATAGAAGCCAATGCGGAGATTGTAATGACTGATCATCCATAACAGCTTCTTTGTCTATGCAATTAAGACCCAATATACATCCTAGTACTACCTGACTACCAAGAAACTACCTAGCCTTTGCCTAGAAATACCAAGACTGGGATTAGAGTTTCCGCCAGCGAGACGTTTGGACGACGACGACGATTGGCGCGCCGATATATGCACTGCCACCTTCCTGGTCCCAATGTACCACTTGCACAGGGAAATGCAAAGCAATTTCCCATTTCCACATTCTCCCACGGTCTAGGCAACAGAGCAGAAGCGTGATAATGACATGACATACTCTATCCTGCACAATACGGGCTCTTGGCTCTTAGCCATTCCCCGTAGTACCACAGCATCAACGGCGCCACAACGCCAAGCGCCAGACTGACGAATGCGAGCAGACTGTTTCCCCATCCCAGACCCAAGGCACGGTACAGACTCTCCGCAAATAATGGAAATGCAAACCCAGCCAATGTTCGTACGAATGCCGCGGCGCCAGTAGCACTGGCTGCATAGCGGCTATAGGCGTCGACAACATAAGTCTGAGCACACTGGAAGGAGATGATCAGCCCGATCGCAAAGATTGCGGCACCAATGTTGGGTATGATCCAGTGCATGTGATATTCAGCGCTCCATCCATAGATGAATAGTCCGATAGGGACGAGTAGCCCTCCTGGGAGCATCAGCGGAATGCGGAATTCGGGCCGTCCTGGATGGTCATAACGTCTCTGCAGGTGCACATATATCTTCAAGTTCTGCGGTTAGCATGCTTTGTATGGAGGTCAGCCACCGTCACTCTCGAATGAAATACTTACTGTGTCAAGAACGCGACCACAGAATTGAAGCCCGATTACAAAGCCTACGCCAAGCGAGATGTAGTTCAAGCTGGCAATGTCCTTTGCTTGGCTATATACTCCCTCCCAGACTAGAGGGAACGATGCTAGGCTGTTGCGTATGAGTAATGGAAACTTGGGGATCACAGAAGTTGGAGATATTCTCACACAAGATACATCAGCCCATACTGGTAGCCTCTGTATAGGGACAGGGCTTGGATAGCAGGCTGAGTAAAAAGCATCCGGAACGGGCGAATCAGGTTCTTCCGAAGCACTTGGCCAAAGGTCCGATCGGGCCTATCATACTCGGTGTGGAGCTGGTGGTTACCTGTCAATTCCTGCAGCTTTCTTTTTCTAGTTGCAAGAATCTTGGGGGCATAGGTTTCGCGCAGAAACAGGAACGCTAATAGCTGCACCAGAGCATCGGCCATGGACACAACCCAGAAGATCCATCGCCACGACAGATACTTCGTCAAGTACCCACCCGCTGCATCCAAGGCTCGTATTAGGTCTTGGGCTTCTTTGTATCGTGGGGCATTACGGAGTTCTCCTCTCGGCACTTACCAATAGGGCCAATCGCGGGCCCGATAAACGGCATCAAGCTATAAAGTGCCGTAGCTGCTCCGCGCTCCTCTTTGCGCCAACAGTCGCTGAGGACTCCGCCACCAATCTAGACAGAAATTAGCGAATCCGCCGTGAAGATGTTAATCTGTATACATACCGCTTGCGGGGCACTGCCACCGAATCCACTGAGGAACCGAAAAGCGAGCATCTGGTTCCCAGAGGTAGCAAACCCACATACGGTGTTGAACACTAAATAAAACATGTTTGCGGATTGCAGTACGACAACACGTCCGTACATCTCAGACAGTGGTGCGATTATAAACGGCCCCAGTGCATACGCGAGTAAGAAGATCGACATGAGGAGATATTGCTTGATATCCGACTGGATTTGAAATTCATCCGCCATGGTGGATAAAGCAGGTGCTACCATGGTGGAGGACACGGGTGAGATGAAGGTAAAACAGGATACTAAGAGTGTTGAGATCCATTTCCTCGGACGACTCCAGTTGAGAGGGTTTGATGGATCGTCTGGGCCGGACCATGTCACCTATTCTATATCAGCACCTCGCATAGGCCAGGGCTAAGAATAGAGTTGAGAGGAGACATACCAATGAATCCTGATCCGCAAACAAAAGACGGCTCTGTTGGCTATCATGAGAGCCTGAATTCGGTTCACCGCTGCTTTTGCCGCGGTCTTGGTCCGATTCAAAATCGACCTGTGTACCATTTGACGGTGTACCGTGCCTCTGGTACAAGCCAGAACTCAGACGAACTGCGGGCACGGGAATGTCATATCGAGAGTCGTATTCCGTGTAGCATTGAACTGAAGGTAGGGGAATCATTCGATCCTCCTCGTCACGACTTTGTCTCGGGACAAAATGTGACATGGTGTGAGCAATGTCTGGGTAAAGCGAGCGACAATAGAAGTAGGGATATAAGGAAAAGAAAGTGTACGCGGGGTGTCTTTTATGTGGTGCTATTGGACCTTCAGTGCAGTTTTATGTTCATCTTCAAGTCTTGCTGCCATCCGAGTTGGTCAACCTGCGCCCACTCCGCAGAGACTCTACATACCCAATATTCTATTTTTGATCCTGTATCAAGCGCATTTCAAATCTGGTACAATCTACTAAGGCTGTGCAGAAGAGTAGACATTGTCAAATTTAGTGACGTTCGAATTTTGTTTGGCCAAGGAGAAAGGCAGCAGTTTAACGGCATGGAGTAGTGGCTTTGCTGTGTGAGCAAGCTTCAAGTAGAATCGGGAAATTGTCCTCGTGGATCCGTAGAATCCGATCTTGCCTCGTAGCCCAGTCCCCCAAGCGTGCCCTTAGACGTCATTCTTGGAGATATTCTGCGGTCGACCACAGCATTGCTCAGGGCTTTCCCCGCCAAGCTGGTCTACCACGGCACGCGGGATCTGTATATGCCTTATGTCCAGGCAACCATATTAAACAATTTTAGAAACCATGCCTGGTTGTCACCTCAGTGGCTTCTGTCTCAGGCTCAAAGGCGTGGTTTGTGGCCGTGCCTCATCAGTTAGACGATATCGACGGCATGCTAGTGGTGACCATGCCCTGTCAGAGAATAACAGAGATGGCCTAAAGAGACAGGAGGACATTAACACATGACTCTTTGTGGTTTCACCCCGCTGTAGCTTCCTGGATTTCGATCTTGTATATAATGGCGCTGCGGCCTCAATGGCATCTCTGTTTCTGTCAAGAAGTATCGACAACACTCGTTCATAATCATACTTTCGTTCATCATCAGAAGAGCTTCACCGATAACATTCGTTTCTCTCTATTGACTTTTTATTTTGACTGTCCACAATGAACATATTGGTCTGTCCGTCTGGCTTCAAGGGGAGTATTGACCCTCAGACCGCGGCCAACTGCATCGAGGCGGGCATCATGCGCGCTCTGCCGTCTGCCAAGATACGCAAAGTACCACTCGCAGATGGCGGCGAGGGGTTTACACACGCCCTAGTTGCTGCTACAGATGGCCAAATGCGTGAGGCCATCGTCACTGGTCCTGTTGGTGCCCCGATATCCTCGTTCTATGGGGTCATTGCACAAGGCCAGTGCAAGACCGCGGTTATCGAGATTGCCGCTGCAGCTGGGCTGAGCCTAGTGCCTTACGACTGCCGAAACCCAAGCGTTACAACCACATTCGGGGTAGGGGAGCTGATTGCCTCCGCGCTGGATGAAGGAGTACAGCGTATCATTGTGGGCTGTGGAGACTCTGGCACCAGTGACGGTGGGGCCGGGATGCTCCAGGCCCTTGGGGCACGATTGATCAATCGTGAAGGTACTGAGATCCCTTGGGCTGCAGGGGGCCAGTCCTTGATTCCACTGGAGAGCATCGATCTTTCCGGATTGCATCCCCGTCTGAAAGAAGTCGAGATCGAGGTTGCTTGTAACTGGAAGAACGTCCTTTGCGGGCCGAACGGAGTGGCGTGTACATATGGTCCGCAGAAAGGCGCATCTCCCAAACAGACGAAGCTGTTGCAAGCTGCGTTGGATATTTACGCTTCTGTTTGTAAGCGCATTTTAGGCCATGATGTATCTGAGATGCCAGGAAGTGGAGCGTCCGGCGGGTTAGGTACTGGCTTGCTGCTCTTAGGCGCGATGCTTCGTCCACGATACGAGGCCATCATGGAGTATTTCAATCTTGACGGATTGTTTGAAGATTGCGATCTGGTATTTACTGCTGAAGGGGGTATTGATTACCAGACTCCGAGGGGAAAGATCCCAGCGGAGGTTGCGATACGCGCAAAGAATCGTCAGATCCCGGTTATTGTGCTGGCAGGTACAATCGGAGACGAGGCAGAGGTGAATTACGACGTTGGAATCAATGCGTATGCCTCAATCCTCCAGCGCCCATCCACCCTGGATGAGGCTATTGCGGAGGCTGAACGACTTTTGACGGAGAGTGCAGAGGGGGTAATGCGTATGGTGGTCATTGGCCGTAAGCTGGCCAGATGGTGAGAATGAGAGGAAATCGGACGGATGATTTACGGCATGTTTATACCTGAGCTAGAGTTGAGATCATTAATTATAGGATGTTGAAACTAGAACTACAGCACACAATCGTAGCTATATTTGTTATGGAAGTTCTATTTTTATCAATCGTAATTTGCTAGGACCTCGATATGATGATCCATCACCCCAGATTGGGAGATTATCACGACGATTTCCTGGTGGTGTAGCACGTCGTCGTAACGTATATGAAGATCACTAGCCTTGGCGCTGGATATATAGCGATCTTTTTCCAGCAGAGCATAGGGTACGGGGCAAGCTTCCAGTGGATTCGTAAGCTCGCTCGTTGAAATCTTAAGCATAACCCAGTCCTTGCGTGGTACTCTGCGTAATTCCTTTAAATTTAGAAATTTGAATTGACTCCTTGACAAGTTCCCCCACTTGTTGGACGATTGAGAGTTCAGGAGTAAACAAGCATGAGGCAGTGAGAGGCATGTATACGTTTGCATATCTATTTCTGTTTCCTTCATCCCCCACATGCCCCCATGGAACAGTGCCACTACTCCACAAGAAGCAGGTACGCTTGTTCCATTCCCTGAAGATAACACACCCTTCATCCCAGGAAGATTAACATCACCGACTGTGTCATCAGGAGTGCTCAATCTCAAATGCGAGCATCTCTTCTCCAATCTTCCAGACGGCGTAGCTGGGTGCTGAACCGGTGCAAATACTTATGCTCTGGGATATTTTCAGTGGTCATATGAAACATGCTCAAGCTCTTTTGCAACATTCTCCGATAACCCTTGTTATGTGTTTCTGTATTGAATGGTAAGGTCTGTCCTATGACTCAGGGTGTCTTACATTACTTGGATCCTCACGTACGGGTGCACCGTTGACGACACGTAGATATATCTATCTCCATAAGCCTATAAAGGATCCTTCCAGAGTATCATGTTGATCATCCTCGTAGGAGAATCCGATGACCCCCCAATCTAACTTTATTGACCTGGAGTGTATCCGTGATATGATTTTGAGCAATGAACTTACCTTCTCGCAGATTGCTAACACAGCTGGCTGCCATTCAAGCACTATCGCTAGCTATGTCACCAATATGACTCCCAAATAAGTGGGGATATCCCCGGAGACTCTCACCCATTATGGTTAAAGCTCCCTGTGATCGCCTCTGCGAGAAGCCCCATTTATACCTTAACAAGATGGTAATTCTCCTATAGGACAGGCTTCAGCTTCAAGTAACCATATACAGCATTAGTCGTACTATCCAGTGTGAAGGGTGGTCAAAAAGGGCGACCAAGTATAGAACAAGACAGAGAAATGTAGATCTACGTGAGACTTACTCTTTCTTGCGATCTTTCGCGAAAATGCCTTCATTAGTCAGTACATGATAATTAATTTTCGCTCCACTGCGAAGCGTTTTTTATGGATATTTTGTTGAGCAGTGGTGATAATGGTAGAGCTACTGTATTCTGTCATGAACGAATCAGTATATTGTCCACTATCCCGGGCAGTAGTGGCAGCAGTAGTAGTATTCGTACGCTAACCCTCGCTCTTGAGGTGTTTACAATTTACGCTGTAATCTATACTAGGCTTGGTACGTATTTAGATTTTGTAGATTCGTCTAGTCTTCTTCAGGGCCCATAATTGGGCCTAAACCTATGAGGAGTCTATATAGATTGGTTCAGTATACCACAACACGAAGACTAGGGAGAATAGGGGGCTGGATGCAGCTTTCCCTCTGTTTTATTCGGAATCCACAGGGAAGCACAGCCCCGTGTCCGTTCTCCGGGCCTATGAAATACGGATGTATAATGTTTATAACGATCGTTTCACTGCAGGATCTATCTGAATAAGTCCTTGATCCATGTCTCTCTAATAGGGCCTTTTAGCTAAAGAAAATTTTCACCGCCATTCCATGCTACCAGAGTAGTGAAAGGAACGTCAGCTAACTTGAGCCACATATCGCCTGCATTCTCACCGGCGTAAGATTTATCACCGTAGTCCTCATCCCCATCGTCATCCCTGTTGTCATGCCCGTTGCCATCGCCGTCGTCATCATCGAACCAGTTTTCTTGACCTTGTTTTTCTGCGGTGCTCACTTTGATCATTTTTGGTGGGAAAAGGATTGCAGTGACGCCATTGCTCCCCAATGCTCCCAGGTTTTATATACTATTACAATGAAATTATACTTGTCAGCCCCAGCACAGCACACATCTATAAGGTGAAAAAAACACTGACCTGCATCTCGTGATAAACATGTCGCATATTCCCGTCTGCGATGGCATGGTAACGAACTTGCGAAGGGTTTGCGTCTCGCATGGTTACGACGTAATCACGCGCTGCTCTAAAAAGCTAATACAAGTGAGCAACTAGAGGGGCCTTTTAGCGGATGAATCTGGTTCATGAACGTTACCTCAAGATGGGCTTCCCTGATACTATCAACCTCTTCAGCGGACCACTGGGCTATCATTTCGCGCTTTATACGCGAATAAAGAGGCTTCACTTTCCCAAATCCCGGAACTATAGAATCCTCTATCTTGATAAATTTGTTCAAGTGCAGCGTCCTTGTCGCCTTCTGTTTGTACCTCTAAGTTAACTGGCTCCAATGCGGTTTCTGCCTTTGTATATTTTCAGGAACAGAGGGCTCAGAACATACCATCCAGATCTTCAAGATGCGGCTTGGACTCCTTGAATGCCTCCGTAGCCAGACGCGTGACCTTCAAGGCCGCTTCGAGTGCCTTTGACATGTTGAATTGTGGAAGAAAGGTTGCCGTGACACGAATCATTCTGTGGTGAAGGCTCCGGCAGAGAAACAGAGCGAGATGGAACGGAGGGAGGGGCAGGGCACAAGCTTTATTAATAGAGAAGACAAACCTTTTAGGTTAACTAACGAAAGCAGTGAGTGCTGTGCTAAACTTTCAAATCTACTTCCGCCCCCGGGCAATCTGGCTGGTCCACAGGCTATCGTGTCGATCTCTGTGGAGCAGTTCGCTTAAAGATCGTGGGGAGAATCTCGATGCTAGAATATAACTAGTGGGCTAAGCGTGGTCCTACCATAACATGATCACGTCGAGGGGCATATATTTATGCAGTTCCTTCCACACGATGGCCTTGCAGGTCACATCCTGAATGACCCCGTTAGACTTTACTGAAATCCTGAGCCCTCTCAGAGCTAACACGCCGCCTCAAGAGAAGTTGAGATCCTCCACACTGGTCGGGGACCACTATTTCGCTGGCAGCATAATATGGTTTCAGCCCTGGTGGGGCAAAGCTTTGCTCGGCGGGGTGCTTTTTCAGCTCTTCAATATATCAGCCAAAAGTTAAAATAATTTATATACGTACCTCGGCTGGGCTGTTAAAGCCTAACCATACCGTGCTATGACTGCCATTCCAATCGGCAGCAAGATAAAATACCTAAAGTCGCCAGACTCGCCACAAAGATGACATGGCAGAGAATAAAGGTCCAGGCGCTCTTGGCTCCCACAGTAGGCGTACTTAAACAGCGGGCATTGAGCGTAGTAGATTAAGAATTGGAATAAAGTTTTAATTCATTAACAACCCCTTGTAAATTTCAGTGGCATAATCTATTAAAGTCTATCGGGAATAGGTCTCTTTTGGCGACGGATACTATATTTGGTCTTCTTCAGGGCCCATTCATGGGCCCTAGCTAGTAAGCCTAAGTTCAATCTTTAGGCTTATAATAGGCCCTTGCGGCACAACCCCATCATGGTGTCCTGACCGTCCTACGCCCACCTCCAAAGCATCAAGCACAAATCGTCGATTCGTGTGTCCGAGCTGTCGAGATAAGTAGCGAAAGTGGGAATGGCATTGAGTTATTCTAGTTAGTCTTTTATAGTCTATAAAGGCTGAAGCTTAAAAAAGGCTTCTTTAACAGACATCTTTCTTTAACCTGATACCATATTAATAGAGGTGCTAGGTAGAACCTAGAAATCTTAGTCCATTAATGATGATTATCGCAACCCCTGGAACAGCATTTTTCCGCATTAATCTGGCTCCTTCGTGGAGCCAGTTGTGGCTTGATTATTCTTGGCGACTTTGGCTATATTAAACCACGATCCCTTGATGTTTCCACACTCTATTCTTCTTTGTGTTTGTTAATCTTTGAGTATTGGTTTTCTAGTAAGAGTATTTCCCAAAATCTGCCACTTGATCAGCAATATGATCCGCTCCCTCACCACTCAGGAAGCTCGCGATACAAAGGTAGGCTTAAATAACCTTTACTGTGGTTGGCAACTTCTAAAGGGGGTTTTTTCGGACAGCCGCGACACGGCCCCATCGACGCCGAACCCGCCCGAATTGACACAGAGCCTTATCAATCTCCTGATGGCCAGTCTAGCATTCGTCAGTTTCCATTTGCCCATGATCCCTATATCGGCCTCCCCGTATTAGGGGTGGGCATGACTGGGATTGTTTACGAGTCGGGACAAGACCGTGTTGTTAAGAAAGCTAGGCAATTGCAGCTTCCAGACGCTGGTGATGCCGAATACATGAACAAGATCAACCAACAAACCCTAGAGAATGAGATCGAAGTCCTTGAACGCCTTGGCAGCTGCGAAGGAATTATCCCCTACTTCAAAATATCCCAGTATGGAATTGAGCTAGCCCGTGCGCAGGAGGATCTGGAGTCCTACCTAGAAACCCATCCAGAATGCGAGGACACTTTGAAGGTTGAGTGGATATTAAGTCTTATCCAGACTTTCTCATATATCCACTCTTGCAAGGTATTTGTGGATGATATCGCTCTTCGGAATATTTTAATTATAGACAATCAGCTTAAAGTTGCAGACTTTGGCCAGTCAATCTTATTACCACTTGATGCCGATATTACTTGCACGGACGAAGATGGTTTAAATGTTCAGATTGAGATACTACACATCGGTTGGATTTTCTACTCTAGTATTTCCTGGAAGGTTCATAAGTACTATTTCTTTGATGCCGAGAACCCTGACCTTTGTTGGCCGGCTTCATTCCCAAATGTTGATGATATTCTCTGTGGCAGGATAATCAAGAAGTGTTGGCACGGTGGATACAGAAGCATGGATCATCTCCAACATGAGGCACTCGAGTTACTCGTTAGTCACTAATTCAAAGCAGAACTTTCTACCCCATGCAAGATAAGGGCCCGAATTGTAGAAAAGCGGCTGAGAAATACAGGCTCCTCGTAAAAGATAAGTAGACCCTGCTCTTTCATGGCATTTCTTCGCTGCAGGCTGGACGGACCCAGATAGCGAGACAAGGCCATCTATCGAGATATGTGGCTACGCCATATGCTACATCCAAGGCTAGGCAGGGTAAGTATTACAACTAACGAACACTGTGACAACCTCGATAGATACCTACAGATACTAATTTGCCATGGGCCATATTTATTGCAAAACCTTTTGCAACACCCGTGGACCACCTGTGTATGTCGAGATTCAAAGACTAATTAGGAGCACTATATTCTCCACTCCCCCAGCATCGGTGAAAGTAGTCGCTTGGCATGGGGTCTATTTGCCGTTACAGAACTACAGTGTCAAGAATAAATCTAAGCAATGTCACTCCATCATTCTACCTAATACGGTACATGAGTGAAAAACCAACTTGAGCGTGATACTTATGCCCCAAGTAGATAGCACCTGCAACCTCTCTGTAACAACGCCCTTGAACATCCCAAGGAACAATCCAAGCTCAACATTCTCATCCGCGGCAGTTGCAGCCAAGGTACTTGTTCGTGCAACGGCCAGCCACACCATTGCACTCGTTTGCATCGCAGGGTCCCACATCACTGCCGCAGTTGTACCCGCATGGACAGCCTTTCCACGGGCCCTGTTTGCCGCCAAGTTAGCCAACCGAGAGTGGTGCGGCTTGGATAGGATCATACCGAAGTACAGGTTATCTTGTCGTTGCTCAGCTGCCCATTGCAGTCGTTATCGTAGCAGTTGCCATTGGGATAGCCGCACTCAGCAGCCGAAACCGCTAAGGCGCTGAGAGCGAAGAGGGCAATGGTGGTGAAACGCATGATTTCGAATTAGAGAATTCTGAGAATGTCACGAGGGTTGGAAAATGATTAGAACGTTGTTGTAAGTAGGATTTACAATCTTTCACAACGCAGGGGAAGGTGCCCTTATTTATATCTTTGTAGTCTTACTTGTGCTCATGGCCGCTCGAGAACCACGGATGATATTGAGACATTTGTCCGGACTCTCCACAGCCGTACATCTCATCTGGGGTGGCCTGGCAAGTGCTGTTCAGCCAATACAACCGCGGGCTGCATTCTATGGCTCTATGCCAGACAACAGAGTACAGGGTATACTCACTACGTTCCTTCCATAATTTGCAAGACATGGAAGTAATTATCCCATTGGATCTTAGCGAGGATACCGACAGTAACCGGGTCCAAGAGTGAACTTGCACTCTATGCGATATGCTACTGCGGAGTCGCTTGCCAAGAGACTAGAGAAGGAGTCCACTGCCTGGCATGGTATGCCATGGAGGGGGCTGTTTACGTAAACTCTTCATGTCTGTGCTATCCAAATATATATGCATGGACCTAGTTGCATACATCCCCTCACTAGATAAACTAGTTTCGAGAGAAATTACATTTGATATCAGCAGTCTTTACGCTGCATACATGGCACCACATTTGCCTCGCGTATATCTCACTCCGCACTGCTAAGACGGGTCCTCACCCTGCAGCATCTGAGTAGTTGTTCATCTGGTATATCAATCCTAGACTGGGAGTGGTGGGCGCGTTCGCCATGACTATGGATACTTCATTTCTTGGGTATATATGCTGCAGACTTGACAGTGCCTGGAAGCTCCGCACGGGCCACGGAAAACCAGTAGTATCTCATTATGTGCTGGTATGGAGCTAGCCGTAGTCAGTTAGAAAGACGCACCCCCCTTGCTAGTCGCGGATTATGGGTTCTTTATCCGAGAGCAAAAGGTCAATCCACGACCAGTGAAGCTACGTACAAGTTAACCCCGAACTAATCAGGGCTTATATTGGTTCTCTTACCTCATCCTTGGCTAAGTCTGCAAGGGCTATCAGCCATCAGATTTTCCTAAGGTTGCAACGGTTTTATAGTGCTGTTCTTGGTGCAGTGGATCCCCCTGATGCTGGGCGAACTCGAACATGTGGAGTCTCTGCATGGAGGCCCACGGGAGAACCATTAATTTTACAACATAACCAAGTGACATCGGGCGGAAATCAATTTTCTTCCGATACAACGTGTAGGGCCAAGGCTGCATGACTTGATCCTTGCTAGATTGCGAACTACTGTCTATTTCGTATGGAAAAGGGCCTTTGTTGCATCTTGTTCCTAATGTACGAAGAGGGGGGACACTCTAAGGTATCAAACTTGCAAATCCCGAACCCTGTACTTCCATCTTGGCAATTCCATGTGTTTTCCTATGTGTAATGTAAACAACACGTTCAAAGATTTTCACAGATATTAGCTATGTTAGGATATTCCATTATATTACTCTATTAATACATCATAGGTGCGGATTCTGCCCCGACAACATTGATGGCCCCTGGGCGAGGATAGTCATTGAGTCGATGCCCCATTTAGTGCAATCTCGGCTTGGGATGATAGAAATCTGCAGCGCCGATTCTCCCTTTTATATATGAAAGCCCCTGGCAAGACGATATTCACAGTTAGTTAATATTTGTTTGCTCAAAATGAAGTGTTGACGAGATGGGGTTTGACTGGACTTATACATAGAGCAGAATGGGGCTGGGAAGGAAGTGGTGCATAGGTAAATAAGGGCATAGTCACATAAAAGAAGTCTAGTGTTGAAGCTATACCGTCAGCGCACACTTGAAGTTGCTTAAGCGACAACAAAAGATGAAGGCAGGGCTGATGATCTGACTGCTATTGTTGAAATGTCTAGGACGGGTTTGCATGTGGAGGTGTGTCGTTAGAGCCGAATGGCGGATAGTAGGGGTCGGACCGAGCCGGCGGACCATCCTAGACAGACAGTGATGATCCCCTAGAATAAGATGTTATACTTCTACGAGCAAAATATTGCGATGTTGGCTTCGTAATTTTCTTTATATGCAGCAAGGAGACTTTCCTCTTGATACTCAGTTCACAAAGCTGAGTAATAATGCTAAAATACAAACACAATTTTCATTCTCCATGCTATTGATGCCGTAGAGTATTAGGGTCTCCTTTCTTGTTGTCTTGTTGTGGTTGTGCTTGATTGTATAAAGATTGCTCAAGGGACTTTGCCTCTGATGTTGAGAAGCCGACCTGAACATCTGTGGTTGCTTATACAGATTGGTAGAGCAGGAGGTACAAACAAATTCAAACAACTGTGCTGATCTGCCTTCTACTTATTTGGGGTATCCTGGCGTTTTGAGGAAACGTAGAAAATCCAAAATATTGCATGTTGTGTGATACTGAAATGTCCGCATGGAAGATATATAAAACTTGAAAGTTATGAATCGCCGGGTAATCTGTGGCCTTGCATTCCCAGTAGTTAGTTAAACGCTGGCTTTTTGTCTGGTAGCTGATTCAGGAGTGTACTGTGTGAGAATAAGTAATAAGTCATTTCTTTTGCTCCTACGGTAACAATGCCGAATTACAGAAATCGTCAGTGTTGAACCATTGTTTAGTTGGCCTCCACGTTGGCTTGCTTGTCTTAGTATTTGGAGTACTTTTGCAAAATGTGCCATATAGGTCTTATAGTTCGAGAAAACTAGTACATACGACCATAGGGTGTGGAGAACAGGGCTTCCCGTCCGCTCAGCCGTACTTAAGCCACACGCCGGGAGGTTAGTAGTTAGGTGGGTGACCACCAGCGAATCCCTCCTGTTGTATGTTTTTTTTATTTATTTATTTAAATGTTTTGCCTAGAACAGCATCGAAGTTCGATGCAATGCTCCACAAAGCTCGGTAGCTTTGTCTTTTTTGCAGCTGCCAAGCAGTATTACTGAGTTCAAGCAACATACAGTGCAGAGTTCGCGGTTTACATATATATCGCGCATCGTGTAGAATTTGTAGTCATACATAAGCAGTCTCGTAGCAGACTGAGGTCCCGAGATAATACAGCATGGTATATTTATAACAAATGGAGTGGTAATTATCGAGTTTAGAGATGCTCTCTGTGTCTTGCTGCTTATGTGATGTTCGTTGTCCTAATTGTCAATGCTTTCAAACTGAAGCCGTTGCCAATGCAAATGCTGACGGGGTAGGACAATTATTTAAATTCACATTCTGTATGGTTAATCTAAATTCGTAAATCAGATAGGTTGGTAGCTAGGGCTCATCCAATTCAAATCGGTCTTATAGTGGAGAGGACGGAGCAACCGTAATAATAGTACCTGATAATTACTAATGATATTCTAACAACATAGGACTGCCCTGGTACAAGAGGTCCTTGGTAGGTGGCGGGGATTTATCACTAGATCGTAACAAACTGTTAAATCGATGCTGGTACTGGCTACTATCGTGGCTGTTCATTGCCATGGGTTTAACATTGCTGAGCGCCAGAATAGTTCTACGCAAAAGACGCAAGTACTAAACGAACAACAACACCGAAACTGGATGACTATATTATATTAAGCTCAAGCAAGACTGCAAAGCGACAGAAGATAAGTATCAGGTCTCTAAAATGGGTATGCCTCGAATATAAATTGCTGGTCACTGCCGAGTGTCAGCACAACATTAGGACATCTTACTCTCACGCCAAGCCCAGTGGACAGCCACAGAACTGACATACTAGTCTATCTAGAATATAGACAAGGTTACATCGTATATAATTGGGCATCAAACGAGCATCCCCACTCAAAGCTACCCGAAGAGGCTGACGGCGCGTATCCGCACAGCCTTGCTTTACCTATCGTTTTGGGGATCATACTGTTTTATCGGGGCCATAGAATCCATTCTTGAATTGTACTTGCTAATTAATCCTTCGACACAACAGCACTTGCCTTGCCATATTAATCATAATGGGGAAAAGACCACTGGATCTGATTGATGTCGAGGAGAGTGAGAATGATACGAAGAAGATAAAGGGCCATATAGTCTCAGGGCCCGAGGCAGGCAGATCCCCGTACAGCAACGAAGAATACACAATAGGTTGGGTCCCGACAGATTCTATAGACATGGCAGCAGCAAAAGGCATGCTGGATGAAGAGCACGGTGATCCACAAACGCCTCCACAGGAGGCTGATCACAATGCATATCTCCTAGTATCCATGCGCCGATTCAGGGTCGTCATCGCTTGCTTACCAAAGGATGAACTGGGCGCTAGCTCTGCAGCTGCTGTAGCAAGAGCCATACTGTTCACCTTTCCTAACATCCGAGTTGGGCTTACGGTGGGAGTCGGCGCGGGAATACCTTACTACGATGATAATGAAACGCGTGACATCCGCTTAGGGGATGTAGTGATAGGCAGTGATAGGGGCTCGAGTGGGGCTATTGTGTATGACTTTGGCAAGTGGCTTCCCGATGGCTCATTCAAGAATATGTATGCTTTGGATCGACCGCCCCGACCTTTGCGTACTACCCTAGCCAGGATGGAAGCAGAGCACCAGACTCGTGAGAATAGGATCTGTGAATACATTGACGGTATGCTACTTAAGTATCCGCACATGAGGATGAAAGGATTTGCTCATCCTGGTTCTCCCAACGATCGACTGTTCCGAGAGGACTATTGCCATGTAGGTGGTAGATCCTGCGCAGGGTGTGATCCTTCCCAGCAAATACATCGAGAAGATCGACTTGACACCTCCCCTGAAATACATTATGGGATTGTGGCCACAGGAAGTGCAGTGGTGAAAGATGCGCCAACTAGAGAGCAAATCAAGCAGAGGCATGGCGCTATCTGTCTGGAGATGGAGGCAGCTGGATTGATCAACAACTTCCCCTGCATCGTCATCCGCGGGATATCCAACTATGCGGACTCTCACAAGAACGACCAATGGCATGCATATGCAGTTGCCACCGCAGCAGCCTGTGCAAAGAAGCTTCTTGGGTTTGTGCAACTGACGACATTGGAAGCGGAACCTAAAGGGAAGGATGTGCTCCAGATACTTAACAACGGCAAGTCGCGACCTTTAATATCGTCTTTATATTTGTCAAGGGATAGTAATATTGCGAAAGTGTCCCATGAAGTCTCTCAAATCTCAACCCATCTCACTCATATCAAGCTACTGAAGAAGCGGACTGAGATGCTCAAGCGCCCGGGCTGACCTGTTCAGAGATCTGGTGAACATCTAAAAGTAATTCAACGGTCTAATATATCTGTTCCATACTCTTGTTCTGATCGAATGGCATGCGAGAGGTCTGCCGAGCCAATATTACATATCCTCTCTGCTCCTCCTAGTTTCCCTCCGACTCTTGACCAGAGACTGCACAATTACATCGCGTATCCTTTCGCCTTCGTAAGCAACGGCCATGCACACGCCAACAATGAACAGCGTAAGAGGAGCAGCAATTGCCCAGAACAGCCACTGATCGCGGTCTGTATTCCTTATGTCACTAGTATTCATACCGAGATAGCTCGTCATGAATGACATGGGTAGGAATACGACAGTGACAATAGTAAAGACGAGGATCGCTTTGCTATTATTATCTTGCTGGAGATCAACTTGGCGTACTACCTAATGTAACGGGTGAGTTCAGGTCGAAATGGGACACGGAATAACTGGGCCGGAGAAGGGTACCAGTAGGTGAATTATATATACATACCCTTCTCCTTAGCTTCTCAATTCCTATGCCCATTTCACTGTACAAAGCTGCCTTGTCATCGAGCTCACGGATACAGTTCTGCATTGCATCTTTTGGTCCTCTCTTGGAATTGGAAACGGGATCGTCGACGAAGGATGTAAACTTTTCGAGCAGTGCCTTCTGCTTCCCCATTATCGTGAGAATGGTTTCCAACTCCTCCTCAAGAAGGTCCAGGTCATCTAGCAAAGTTCGAGTAGGCTTATCTCTCACTTTGATTCTCTTTCCAGGTATATCCATTAGAAACTGAGACCGGGAGGACCAGAGAAGGGGTTAAGTTTTATTACATACCAACTGAGAAGAATACTGCCGATAAACTTCCTCAAGACGAAAAGACCCTGCGCCTTCCAGGTCACTCAGCCCAAAGCAGATGTGTTCCAAAATCGAAGATGCAATACGGGAGGGTCCCACGGCGAAGTACTCATCAATATCTAGAGGGTTTGTCTCCGTTAGTGTGCAGATGATCGAATATTTAGATTCAATCAGTAGATCTTCGGCTTTTTTAATAGTTTGGCTACCGTAAACCCAGGGATTTCTTTCCTCTTCAGGCTCTGTATCATTCTCGGTGTCATCCCCAGCCCATTTCTGAGAGCCTGTTGTCCGCCTTTGAGGAGTCCTCGTATTTCCAATACTACGATCGCTTTGAACAGAAGCAGCGCGACTTGATGTTCCACGAGATGGGACAGGATTGTCACTCCCCCAAGCCCCGTCTGTACCTTTTGACTGACGGGGTGTACTCCGAGAGATTTGTCGGTCTTCTATCTTGGATATTCCAGTGATGGAAGCCTCAGGAGGCGGACTGAAATCAGGGTCCCCATCTTCTGCCTTGGGAGTGCTTTCTGTGGGAACATCCAAGTCTGAAGCTTTGTGTAGGATATCTGGCTCTGGGTGACTCGTTTCCGGTCGGGTCCCCATATAATTTGATTCGGCCGACAGTGCCTGTTGGATAGAGCAGCATAGCTGGCTAACCACCCTGCACAGCTCCTTTAAATACTCTACATGAGCTGTAAGAAGAGGTAGGCGGCTCATATCGGTCTGGATGCCAGCACGGACTTCGCTAGAAAACTTCAACATGTTCGAAGACCAGTCAGCAAAGTCCTTCAGGAGCGGGAGCCTGATGAGCTTTGTTTCCTGAGAGGACATAAAACACTCCTATTACGAAACCTCAGTCTATTTACAGCCTCTCATGTATCCATACACACAAAACATACCTTGAGAATCGTATGAACCCCTCCGTGGATCTTATCTTTGAGTAAGGATTCTGTCCCGTCTGGGAGAAAGTGATCGACCAAGTCGCACAGAGAACTACATAATGCAATTTCCGGATGGTAACTCGCGGCTGGAACCCCACCGAAGAACGACATTTGCAATTCAACTAGATCTTCTTTCTTGGCCCTTGGCAGCTTTGCAAAGGCTTCCTCTTTTTGAAGCACCGCGTACAGGAATTTAACAGGGAGCGAAGGGGAAACACGTTTCGAGTTGTGTGTTTTCTGTGATTCGGGTACTCGTGTTACTGCTTTCTGACCTTGACTGCGCGACAGGGCAGACATTTCAGAAGCTAGTGGCCACGATAGGTACGGCGGGATAGTTGTTTGAGCTCGGCTATCTGTAGACAGTCTAGGGGACTTGATCGAAGCACCCGAAGGATCATGGGCTGAACCAGGGCTCTCGTAGTTGTCAATCTCTGAAAACAAACCATCTAGCCAAGATGATTTTGGAGTCCAGAGTATTTCGCCTTCGGCCCTTCTCAGCTCATCGGCAGGGTCCTTTTCATAGCAACCAGGCCAATGCCAAGCAGGTCCACTTTGATTAACAGATTTCCCATCTTCAGGATCATTCTCTGGCAACTCACGAACTTCATCTTCTAGTCTCATTCTTCGGGACCTCCGGGTGTGCTCGAACAAAACTTCAGTAAAATCGACATCTACGTACGTCTGGATTATGAGCATTGTCGAGTCCTAATAGGCGATTAGAGCAGTAAATGCGAGTTAGGTAACAGAACGGTTTACCTTGGTGTCCTCTGCCCATGGTAGATTAAACGCTTCCAAGGTCTCCACGTCCATAAACCTTTTTGAAACCCTCACCCATGTCCTTGTATCGGTATCTGGCTCGATAAAGTATGCCTCATTCTCCCGATTGGGTCCAGGAGACACTATCAGTTGTGTATAGAGTACAACAATAACGGTGATGCAAGTACCGCATGCCCTTGCTTTATACAAAACAGAAGGCCAGGAGTCAGCGGTCAGAACCTCGCCCGTCTCTGCATCGCAGAACCTGCATTTCTCAGCGTCAATATGCTTCTTTAGCCAACACGAGTAAATGTGATGGATCCTGATCAAGAAATCCTAATTAGGGTCAGCACAAGCTACCAACCTCTGAATCCTGCTATTTGTTCAGTGCGACCTCACTCACAAACCATGTAGGGCATTCAGTCAGATTGATATAAAATATGCTGTCATCCTCGTGCACTAGGCGGATCGCTGGCGGAAATTCTTCTAGGGGAAGAGGGAGAATTGAACTCTGTCGATGGGTATGGAGCTGACTTGGAGCACAGGTAACCAAGTAATCTAGCAACATGTCAGTTGTGTACCATGTTTTAAGATGTGGGATTCATCGTAAAACAAGATAAAGAAAAGCAGAGAAGTGGAAGGTAGGGTACAATCTCCGATTATCAAACCCCATAGCTGCGGGACGTAGACCAGCGTATTCCCCTCTAAATCTAGCACTTTGCGGACCGCCTGCGACTTTTCACGAGCGAATGAAGAGTCGGTCCGGTATGCCGACTGAACCAATCCTCTGATCGGATGCAAATCCGTATTGGCATTTTTATCCGCTACAGACTGGCAGTTTTCGCTGAGAAGAAGGTAGGGAAGGGCGAAGAACACACAAACAAGAGACTGTCCACTTAAGGAAGACAGCCTTTGTTTCTGGAAACATGAATCCAGAGCTTTCCCGCCGAATATCCTTTGCGCTTCTAGAGAATAAATATCTGAAATCCATGTTTCTATCATATTTTTCGCATTCAGCGGAAGGTCTATTCCGTCCAATGCTGTAGACTTTGTGGAAACATGGTGAATCAGCCATCGGAGATACAGCAATATCTGAAAGTCATACCTTGAATGTATCGAATTCAATTCCTTTACAGTGTTGTATATGTCTGGATGGCCCTATTAGTTTAATTGACACAATTTAAACTTGTGTCTTCTCACATCCAGTGAAGTGTTCGGCTTCCTGGGCCCGGACTTCTCATCTGTGAGGTTTCATCCGTTGCTAAGAAAAGGGTATCTTTTCCACCACCAACGGGAATGCGACTCCATGCAATTGGTATTCGCATCCGGTGTATACGCAGGTCAGAATTCTTCACAACGTGTGAGTTCCAAGTGCCTAGGCCTAGTCGACGTTAATCAGGAGTAAACAAACCTCACGGAACTGCTTGTTTAGCTTATCTCTCGGGCGTTCTTCATCGTCAGTGGTACGAGAAAAGTATGGAATCCACGAAAAGCGTTTTCGCTCATTATATGACTTGGTATAGACTTTTTCCCTATTGAAAACTGGACCTTTACTCGTCCGTGTCTCGTCCCGACGCCTGGTTGCTTCACGAGCAAATGCGTCTCGAAAGTCTCCGGTTTTAGCCCGGTATGTCGGATCCAAGAACTTTGGATTGGCACCAGTGATAATGTACGCCATGTAGAAAAGGCTCTCAGGCATGAATCGCCACTACTACGAGGCCACAATTCGATGTCGGGGTCTGACTTGGATGGAAAGTGGTGGGGGGCAAAGAAAAGACGCCAAAGCGCCTTCTCCGCACAACGATCACCATCACGTGCAGGAAGGAGCTAGTCCGGACTTACAATAACAATACGAATAGCCGTCATCTCCTTGATTGTCTGTAATTCTATGTTCGATTGGTGTTTCCAATTCTTTGGCGGCTGGACGGATTGGCAAGCTATCCCCGCTGGCTCGGTTGTGAGATAATGAAGGTGTAGGGTAGGATATAAACTGGTCCAACCCGGAGCAGGCTTACACAAAAGATCGCATCAAAAGGGTAGAAATATAAATAAATTGCATACAACCCAATAATAGTCTGGCCGTCATGGCTGTGTCCTTGAAAGGACCTTCGCAAGCAACTGGAACAAATATAGAACTTCCGACATATATCTAGTATTATTGTGCTAGACTCTGCGATAGAGGCTGCCCGGAGAACAAGAAGGGGTGATAGAACACTACAAATCACGGCAACCTTATACGGTAACGCAAACCTGATTATCCCTGTCTGGTTGGGCTGAACTGGGGTGCCACGTTCGGTTGCCCTTGAAAGCCTACATAAAGTAGTGATAGGATTCCATTTCTTCCAAAAAGATCCTCTGGGTAAGTCATATCAGGCAAGAATATTACGCCATCAATCATCTCTAACCCTAAGCCCCACGGCGGGGAACAAGGAATACGGAAATGGCCTCGTCGGAGGATACGGTCCAAATATTTTACTGCTTCAGTCTCTCCGCATGGCTACCAGATCTTGTACGTCTGGTATCTACCTTAGCACAAGCAGAAGAGAAAGTGACGGACCTACACGACCTGGAATTGTCGTCTATAAGCCAATCGTGGACCAAAGTCGTATTTCCCTCGTAAGTCACGCTAACATGGGCCACTATTCCTTTTGCCATATATCATCTCGCCGGGCAATGCCATGATTCGAGTTGAGTATCGATATCGAAATGCAGAGGAGTGCTAAAGTCACTTCCCTATGCAGAAAAGCAAAACAAAGATATTTTTAGAAGCCGGGAAGGAAACATTCTTTTCTCGCGGGCTGATGCCGATCATCCCTGGTTCAGTTGTTCCCGTTGGTCTCACCATGCGCAAGGTGGGTCGGTTCTTTCGTATCCGCATCTTCACGAGGCGCGAGGCATAAGCTACCATTCCCGCCAAGAGAATGTCTTGTTTAAACTAAGCTAATCTTGGCAGAAGCCACGATGCTTAATTCTCATTCGTGGGCTGGTGGTCTGATGTTCCTCTTCGGAATGTCTAGCAAGGCAAGGGCTCTGCAGATCTACCCTGAAATTCCCCGCTGACTGTTCCTCACGACGGAATTTAACCGAGTAATACGACTCATCTGGACTGATCGGCAATTGGGTTACATGATGCGCCTGGTATGTACTGATATCGATCTGCGGGTTAGCGCTACATGCATCGTGATCTATTTCATCTTCCGTTCGACCAGGAGTGAAAGACCTTGCACGATTTTGCATGACCCGATATTGGACAGTGAAATAACGACGTAGGTAGATGTAACCTATTAAATTTCATGAATGATAAAGGGTGCAGTATAGGACATAGAAAATGATCGATTGTATAACTTCGTAAACTAAAATGTAGCTCACGTAAAGCTCCACTCGGACACGAGATGTTAGCGTGTCCTCCGCTAAGTATAATCAAGTCCAGATATACTGGCGAATATGAGCGGTGCCTTGGTGTGCCCCAGATGCATAATCGATCGATACCCCACTGTAACCCCAGTCTCTATTATCTGACTATACTCGAAGGCTCGACTCCACCGGGTAAGATCCCTCATGTCTATGAGGTCGATAGACACCGTATTGATGAAGATCTCTCGTGTAGCAGTATGCCTCTCGTATTGCTATACCTCGCCATTCTCGAAATAGAACTGAACTGGAGACAAAGTGTGTGATAGCCATTGAGAGTCACAACAGGGTATCATTCTAATACGAGATGGAGTCTGTCATACGCGGGACATCACCAACACAAGCCCAAACTCCATCTATATAAAGGCCTGCCTCACCCTCTCTAGAGTTCTTAATTCATCAACACAGAGATCACATATCCAAACTCCCACCAGCATAATCAAAAACGTCTTTGCCCTTCCAAATCCACAATGCGTTTCTTCCTTGCTATCTCAACTCTTCTGGCCGTTGCCACTGCAGCGCCAGCCTCGACTGCGCAGAACATTCAAGACGTCCAGAGCAACGCCGCTGCTTTTATGGAAGCCAAGAAGGCCTCAGGATGTGATTGGCTTGGTAGGTGGTTGGCGACGGATTTTCACCATGCAATTTACTGACATTATTGAATAGCTTGCGTCTCCTCTCTTGCTGGAGAGAGCGCTGCGTGTGCTGCAGCTGCAGCAGAGCTTGGTGCTAGTATGCTTTCCTTCTTCCATTCTCGATATGCTGGACGTCTTACTGATTTGGGCTCTTAGATCCCATCGCGGATGCGGCTTGTATCGCTTCTGTCGGTACCTCTACTGTGAGCTTCACACTGTCTGTCATTTTATTAAGTAATATTATTCTGACTATCGAAACAGGCTTCCTGCAGGAAGTGTGGCTAAGTAGCTATGCTACAATCTCTCGCCAATACGATTGACGGGCATCAATGATGCCATGGAATACTGAGTGAATGGACTTGCCGGACGCGTTTGTATGCAAGTACCTGTATATGTCTTTAGTGATAAACTTGGAGGAGTGAATTCTATCGTGTGGCTTGGTGATGAATGCATAAATTGAATCTGCTTTTACGTACAAATAAGTATTGAGTCATATCTTTCGTAGCAGCTTCAAAGTTACATAGCAAAAAGCAATAAGTGTACAAAACCGGATAAAGACCAGAAGACATTAACCATTCAACCCATCATATATTCAACGGTCGCACACTCCTGTCGTGCCCGAATATGTTATAAGAAACATATGGTGATCCAGAACTCGTCCGCACTGCATCCTGAATGGATAGTACGGACCTCCATCTACGTCTAAATGCGATACAACTGTGAGAGCGATGGTTTCTGCTAAAAGCCATGAAACCCGCCGAACCCAGCCAAGAATCCACATCCATACCTAATCCATGTCTCATGCACACGGAGTGCATGTCTTTAAGCTGCCTGGGCTATGGAAAAGATCTGCTATTTTCGATGTTCAATGAGATCTGATCATGGATGGATTATACTCAAAGACCAATTCTTGGTGGCGGCCACGACAGGATCGGGCTATATCAACCAGCGTGAGAGTGGCTGAACAGCGTTGTGCTCAACGCATAGCATCTTTACAAGATAGTAATCCTTGTAAATAGAGAATTTCCTCGCTATTCACTATCTATGTCGTTAGTGGCCATCACGATTGTCAAAGTGCCACGTTCAAGAACCGCCACTGAACATCTTCCGCGCCAATTGCGCCGCCAATTCAGCTCATACATGAATACCCGATGCGCAACGATTGAAGCTGGACTCTGAAATGAGGCACCGATCATAACATCAATGGACCCCACAGCGACTCCCTTGATCCACAGCATTGACTTGACCTGGGGTAGGGGTGGGGGGGAGTCCTCTGCCTACAATTGATATTATCTGGAATATGTGGGCTATTACTTGGGCGTCATTCCCACTCTTTCTCCCCGTGATGCTGTATTTTATGAATTGGTCGTCATTGACTGTGGCCGGCATTTTCGCCATTAGTTTTATTTATTACACTCTATTTTATCGACAAAAGCCTGATGATATAAAGTAGGCCATATGCAAAGATGGCCCTTACTTCGGTGCAGTGCTCCCTAAATTCCAAAGGAGTGCGGTTCTCCTAGTATGGCGACTACCCACCAACATTTCAAACTCTCATGGCGCCTTTAATTAATAAATATAAGCAATATAGCTCTATAAGACTCCTGGGATCGTTTTCTCTGCTTCCCAGCTTTCGCTGTAACAAGTATGACACGCTGTTCTTCGTCTTCTTGTCCTAGATCAGCCCTCGACGACACAAGTCAGCACTGGACAGCAGTCACTGCCAAGCAAATAACCAAACAATGCTGTTGAGAGGACCCTAACTCCCAACATGCCTAGTGAAAGCTCATCATACAATGTGGGCCTTATTGTCAGGGGGTGGGTCACCAAGCTAATCCTGATGACATACGACCGCCATCCGAGGTAAACCTGCCAATCGGAAACGTAATAGACCGTGTACAGCCACCCAGAAACCTAATCGACCGAGGTATATGTGGAACCAGGTTGAACCCTATGTCGGAGCCTCTCTACACGCTATCAATCTTATTGGGTAGTATAAACCTTCGCACTTGGAAACTTCGGGGGGCCGAGGCAAGTTGAGATGATCGGGGAGTCATCCACTTCATTTATTGCGTACTGAGTAGACAGGGGCAAACCTTGCAAACGCGAATCTATGCTCGAGCCTCAATTATGACGTCTTTCGACACCTTGTCAATGCTGAATGCTAATCTCTTTATGGGTAAACATACGCCGTACCTAGTAGTGGCTTTTACCTCTTCCATCAACTCTCCGTAGCCATTCGATAAAGTTTGTTGCAGGGATACTGGATCCAGTATAATAGCCCTAACATGCATACTTTCAGAGTTTTCCTACTCTAGAACTACTATCGTACGGTAATCTTACCATGCACTATGCCATATTAAGCTAGTATTTAATGTAGATATATAAAGTATCTTTCATTACAGGCGTTCTAGCAGCGTACGGTGACGGAAATCAACCACCAACATTCTCGACTCTTCTGATTTCAAAGCCGGCCCACGCGGCTCCGGTTCACTGCTAGAAATCGCCCATCAGTGTAGCTATACCCCACAAAAATAAGACAGTAGGGCTGTATATTCCTTGCTGTGGCTGGCATCTAAAATGGCACAACCTTAATTTCGGGCGCAATATTTCCCTAATTTGGAAGTAAGTATAGAATCTCAAGAATGAAACTTCCATGAAAACAACATGGCTCTGGATTGTTTCCACAATATAACTGATGCAGCTAATCAAATCCAGTGCCAAGGGTTATGTGCAAATACATTCTATGAAAGATTATATTATAGTGTAGAGAGTGATTGAGCATTTAACTCGCTCCCACCCAGGTTTTGCCAAGTGAACAATATCTCTCCCCCCGATTTTCTACCATAGCCTCGATTAATCTATTCCAGACCCTACCCGCATCGTACCTATCTTAGCAAATTTATCTTGTGCCAAAATGCCTTTCAACACCGCGTTGACACGGAAGTTAGGGATTGCAGGTGATGTATCCCCCCATATCCGCTCAAACAGTTGCTCACTATCTCACAGTCCCGATCATCCAAGGGGGTATGCAATGGGTTGCTTATGCAGAGCTTGCTTCCGCAGTCAGCAACGCCGGTGGATTGGGAATAGTACGTGTCGCTTACGTCCGAATACCATTTCTGATATGTACACCTACTCTAACAGCTCCTTGGGTTCTTCCTTATCCAGCTCAGTGCACTCACACATCCCACCCCTGATGATTTACGAAAGGAGATCCGAAAATGCCAGTCCATGACCAAGAAACCGTTCGGGGTCAATCTTACTCTACTACCCGCTCTCAACCCCCCAGACTACGCAGCCTACGCACGCGTGATAGCCGAAGAGGGTGTGAAAATCGTCGAAACAGCAGGCCATAATCCGGGGCCAATCATTGCCCAGCTGAAGAAGGCAAATATAGTTATCTTGCACAAATGTACTACTATCAGACATGCAAAGTCGGCCATCAAGCTGGGTGTGGATTTCCTCTCCATCGATGGCTTCGAATGTGCTGGCCACGTCGGAGAGAATGATTTGACAAGCTTCATCCTCCTTGGGCGCGCTCGACAAGAACTCAAAGTGCCATTCATTGCATCGGGTGGGTTTGCGGAGGGGCGAGGACTAGCTGCTGCTCTGGCTCTTGGCGCAGAAGGAATCAATATGGGTACTCGGTTTATGTGCACAGTCGAAGCTCCTATCCACCAGAAGATTAAGGAGGCCATTGTCAATGCACAGGAAACGGATACTACGTTGGTGATGCGGCGATGGAGAAACACCAGTCGTTATTTTGCGAATACTGTGACTGAAGCTGCGCTCAAAATTGAAAAAGAATCGCCATCGGGCGAGTTCTCTGAGATTGCGCCCTTTGTTAGTGGTCAGCGTGGTCGGCAGGTGTTCTTGAATGGGAATATCAATCATGGGGTGAGTTAATGGACCATCCGAGTCAATAATAAACCAATCGAAGCTGACACAGTGGCATTCTAGGTATGGACGGTCGGCCAGGCTATCGGATTGATCCAGGACATTCCTACATGTGAAGAGCTAGTTCGTCGTGTCGAACGGGATTCAGCGTTGGCAATTGAAGGGATTAACAAGCTTTACCATCACGGTGCCTTGAAGAGCAAATTATGATTCATGTTGCATTATTATCTTTGTGCTTTTAAGTGACATCTACACGCGTGACTTGTGCTTTCCCACTATATATATCATTAGATTTGTGTCCTACCTCAATACTATGGACATTGCATACAATGAACAGGACCTATGTTTTCACGTCTATGTTAAGCAAACCCAGGATAAGATATGGTCTGGTGAGGCGAAACCGACTATCTTGGCCTTCTACGCAATGTATTGTACTATACTAGTTCAGAGTTCTCCACGAAATAGTAGCCTTAACAAACCCTAGCGGACTGTGAAGCTCGATTTGTCCCCTTGAGCCAGCAGAAGGAGGTACATGCTTAGGTTGGAAAAGGCTTAATCCTGTGAAGTTTAGGGCTGGAACAACGCTCATGGGTTCTGGGGCCATACCTATATAGGATAACCGAGTTTATCTGGGGACACCGGAACCGTTTACAGACGATATTGATTCCTTTCTTGGCGAACTATTCCAGACTCAGCACTGGACTAGACCTAACCAGGAAATCCCTACCTCGGTACCTGCGGGCTACAAATACGCCTCCTCAGATCCCACATAGATCCCACATTGACTGCAGATACCTTAATACAGGGTTATAACCAGACCATTGTAATTGCTTCGACACTCTAACCTTAAATTCTTGATAAGTTGCCGCGACGACCTCGATTGGTTGTCCATTTTAGGCTCCGCGGCTCCGCGGTGTCTTGCAAAATCTTAACACAATTTTGGGAGACGAACGATTAAGCCCACACTGTATCTCACTTCTGAAGGCAGCTGAGCTGGCTCTGCAATTACGACTAGGTTTTAGAGTTAACCACAATGACCATACGATTTCATTCCCCCAGACTATCTTCCCCACATTACACGTCCTCGGCGACGGAGTAGATACGGGGTAGCTCCGTGCGCCTCCGAGGAACCGTCGGCTGGTTATTCTCTCCGTGTTGACAAATCCATTCTCCTGTCTCACAGCGGCACATATGTAGCATGGACGAAGCAGGGGTCCTTATATCTGCGTCAGCTTTCTCAGGGTATATTTCTCAACCCAATCCGAAGACTTCGCTCATAGCTTTAGGCAGCAAAATTATGTTTTCAGCCCTTCTGCCTCATTGGGTTGGCACGCGCAAAGCTTGGCGATCGATATATTTTTTTTAATTCATTGACCTGCCACAAAGACTACACCTGCTAAGCTGCTCTACCGACCTCCAAATCGCTCAAATTCCGGTCGTCGAAAAATGGAGGTACTACTTGATTATCTAGAAGAGGATTCCAGGAACGTGTTCATTGACCTAACCCCTCAATCACTGTCATCTTCTCCTGAGACATGCCTGGCAAGCGATTTACCGGGATTTGTGAGGCCAATCTCAACTGCTATAGGTGAGGATAGGTATGAACAACTTTTACTACAAGGGGCATTGACCCTACCAAGCTTTCCACTTCAACAAGCCCTACTACAAACATTCTTCGAATGTGTTTTGCCTACTATGCCAATCATAAACTGGCAGACGTTTATCAATAGTGTGAGCAATAAAGAAGGTAGTCAAGGCAAGGTCAGCTTGCTCCTGTTCCAAGCTATCATGTTTTCGGCAACCACGTTTGTCGATCTTGACGACCTTCAAAAGGCTGGCTACTCGAGCCGTGAGGAAGCTCATGAAGCTTTCTTCCAAAGAGCACATGTTTGTAACTCCCAACGTACTTCATCAAGGCTTCTTCATGCTAACCACATTATAGCTTTTGTACCAATCGCATTACGAATCGGATCCACTCACAACTCTTCAAGCCCTGCTTCTCATGACACACCGAGCCAAAGCCACGGACGGGAAAGATAGCCGATATTGGATTGAGGTTGCCATTTCGCTGGCGCTAATGATGGGGCTCTTTCGAGACCTTCCCACTGGTTATGGTAGACACTACAATCAGAAGCTTCACAGAAGAGTTGCCTGGACGTGTTATATGGCGGACTCCTTGATCGCCCTTAGGCTAAGATGCCTGCCGTTGATTCGGAGTGTTGATTTCAACGTTTCCCTCTTAACTGAAGATGACTTTGATGTTGGTCACATAAGCATGGACAGCCAACTCTTGCTTCCTTGGTGCACATTTATTCGTTGTGTCCAAGTTCAAAAATATCTGGCCGATATCTGCGTTTCTCAAACACAGTTATGCTTGTGCATCAGAAGAGTGCTGAACGTGCAGGCCAGGCGCAACTCTGCGGAAATATCCTCCGATGCCATCGCCACACCACCAGAGTCTCCGAACAAGCACCACTCAGACTACCTCAGCAGTATTTGGATGTGTCAAAAGGCATTAACCGACTGGGAATATTCCTTATCACCCATATCTCAACGTCCGCCCACAGTGTTTGGGATCGACAGCCACGAAAGCCCGCTAGTTACGCTCCACCGCAACGTCTTGCACATGATCTATCAGGGAGTGGTTTGCGTGCTGTATCAGTCGCAAATATTCCAATCGTCGACGTCCCGCATGCAGCATGCTGCTAGGCAGATCACCGAGATCGCCACCGAATTAGATGACATGAACCTTCTGCATTCGCTCCCGATTATTGGTTCTACAACTATTCTGATTGCGATGATAATCCACCTGGCAGAGGTTCAGGCCTCTTCCCCGGTAAAGCAACGGGTAACCATGACAGACATTGAATCATGCATTGAAGTAATGAAGAGGCTGCAAGATGTCCATTCATCTATGAACACTGTCACCCATCTTATATTAGCAGCGCTCAAGAAGTGCTCTCCGGAATGATATCGACGCAACGAGGACTTGGCTGAAACAATCGAATGCCGACATACGGTCACAGACACGGGGTCAACCTGCTGCCCTGGCACTCGTGGATCTTGGCCATTAGGTTATTCAAGATATCATTCCGGGGATTATATTGGCTTCCCCCCCAGGCCATTACGATGGGACTGAGACTGCGTTCTCCGAAGGAATTCTCCGGTTTTGGACATATCATCACCGTCAACGCCAGGAACTCAACCAATTATGACACTCTAAGAGACCAGTCCGCAACATGAAGCTGCAACTGAGACCACACCCGTCCATGACCGTTTATTGTGGAGGTGACACGGATCTCGAACCATATGTGTGGACCTTAACATTCCATGGAGCCATTCCAGAGACATTCTTCATCTCTGATCATGTTTGCCTGACATGTAGGCCGCCTTGGGCTAAGGGCAGTACCATTAACGTGCTTAAGCGGCTTTTGGAGCCAGATAACCAGGATTCTGAAGATGCTAGTGACCTCATCGTCAAGCGTCCTCTCATCACAAAGGTCAATTAGATAAAGCAATTGACTTTAGATGGGCGAATATCGAAGCGGCATAGAAAGCCTACTGAAGTGCTTGAATAGTCTATGTCCACAAGTCTTAATCTCCAGAGCATGGTCTGTCGTTCCCTATGAACTGGAAGCCTTCGCGATCTTGACACGGAAGCTCAAGACGGAGCGTACATACATACTTTCTGGAGCCAAATAGTGTCCCGGTTCATTCAGAAGGGTCGTCATCTACCCACGTCACGGGTGCAAGTTTGATCAACTCGCCTCTTTATATTTGTTTCCCCATGACCAGCGCCAATTAACATGGCATGGGCTACCACAAATATTCGTTGCTTTCGTCTATGATCTGTTGTCTGTCTAAGACCAGCAAAAATTCTTCTATGAATGCCATGTTTACCAACTCCAAACCTGCGCAACCTATCAGTTTAGACCCACTATCTCCGTTCTCTATTTCGTCTTCTTATGCGCAGTTCCCTCTCTGGGGGAAGCACACCCTCGTTCAGAGTCCTCCAAATACACTCCTCACCAGTTTCTCCTCTCCACTCTGCAGCAAGTTCCTCCAACGCGCGATCCTTAACAGCCAGTCGCAGCCAGTGATGGTTAACGTCCCATCCTGTCCAGATAGGATTGATGGAGATCCCTCGACACTGCCTACCAGGCGGGAGGTCGTTTTCGGGCGGATGCCACGACAGTGAGAACATGTCGTGACTAATATGGCTGTGTGCGGACCTCAATATGGTTCTCTCGGTCGTGAATACGGCGCTGTACGCATAGGTGATGTAGATGACGACCATACTGTTAGTCTCTGAATCTGGTTAACCGGGTTAAAGAAGATGCTAGGAAATTGGGTTTTTCGTCGCGGAGTTAGGTCTTGAGCAGTGTATGATAGATGTCAAGGCACTGGAAACTCAACTCGGCAGGCTTTCGATGGAATTCTTATACGTTGCAAGTTGACTCCAAGTGCAATCTATTTCATTATGCATATCGCTGCTTTCCAGTACTTCCACTACATACATTTGCTCTACGCGGCTGAAATATCCCAGTGATGGGGGGCATTACTATTGTTATAATGTCTATCAGAGAAAAGGATTGTGAAACCGTGTACAACAATAGACATTGTTACTGGAGTAGCTATGGGCCTTTCCAGATCATAGGTGTAGGCTCGGGAAATAATATGAATTATTACTTATCTCCAAGTGCATACTTCACGTACCAATAAAAACGCTCTTAAACTAAGGGCTTTTGCCGCGGCCTCTTTGTTCATTATTTGTGATCATGGTTTTGTTTACAGCCTCATTGAAAGAAGATACCTAGAATCAGTGTGAATCACATCCAGTATTGGGTAAAAGGATACTACTGGGAAAGTGGTGGACGTTCATCCAGTAAATGTTGTGTCTTTCGGGTCGCATCTCAATTTGGAACTACTATATATGTTGTGGCGGTACAACGAAGGAATCGGTGAGTGTTTATGTGCTCTGCCATAGTTCCACCAGACAACCTCAGATGAGGATAGAGAGTGATTTCTAGAGCTATACAAATCCCACTACTAGAACTAAGCTGTATGGAAATGTCAAGGGGATGGAAATGAACACCTTTGTCTCCTCAGGTGTCTAATCAATCACGTGATTTAAGCACAATCGATAACCGAGGAATAGGGCAGATTCAGTTATACGATAAGGTCACTAAATGTTTGATCAAGATTTAGCGTATTGTTAGCCAGGAACAAGTGTACTGTGTATCGTAAATCAGCATTTCGGCCGAAGGGACAATGGTTTGCAGGGCCGATGTGGGGGAGTCACTCCGTACTCAACGGCGAACAACAGTATAAATCTCGAGAGAATCGACGTCATCGGGTCCACCAGTGAGAGCCACATAGGTCAGGTGATTGGGTGGCTTGCCACCCCGACACGTTTTTCTTGGTTTCCATGTTTCCAGACGAGTCTAGACCCAGTTCCGGCCAATTAGAACAAGGGAATCCTGGTGTACCTCAGGACCCGATACTCCGGCCTCAGGCAGTCAGGTTCCTCTCACTTCTTTTCCCTTTCTCTTTCTTTCCTCCACAATCGTAACAACAACACTTCCCTGGAAGATATGTGAGGATGGCAGCTTCCTTTCCGCGGCCTCCCCCCACAGATGCCGAACGTGAAAGGATCAGAGAGTTATCCAGGTAAGTCACTTAATATAGTACTAGTCAATGGTGATTCTGTATGGTTGTTGATCCGCTGATCATTTCCGTCGTCGGTAACTACACAGGTATTACTGCACCCTCGATCGCATCCCCTCCCTTCCGCAGCCCAACAATGAGGAACGGACCACAGCAGGACAAGAAGATGCTGACGAGGATTCACCTCGTTTGTCCTCGGACATCACCCTCACGGCCCTGAGTCAATTGGCCGTGTTGCGCTTCGGATGCAATCGAGCCTTTATCTCCATTATCGATGATGGGAACCAGCATCTTATCGCAGAGGCTACTGGCTCCATCTCGCTACGTGACAAGGATCGGCATGCCCCAGATGATGCAATTTACCTTGGTGTGCGAACGATCGATCTTGCCTGGGGGGTGTGCCCGCATACTATCTCCCTGTTTACCGGCCAGGACATGTCTAAGGCGGTCGAGACGCCTAACATGATCGCGAATAGTTCCCGCTTTGTTGTCAAGGATTTCACCCAAGAGGACTTCTTCAAAGATCGCCCATATGTAGTGGGATGGCCCTACTTCCGCTTTTATGCCGAGGTGCCCCTCTTTAGCCCCTCCGGCGTCGTGTTAGGGTCCTTTTGTGTCGTGGACAACAAACCACGAGAGCACTTTGCAGAAGAAGAAGTGGATGCCCTGAAAGAGATCGCTGATGCGGTAGCATTACATCTTGATAAAGTCCGCATCTCGATTGATCATCATCGGACGGAGAAGCTGATTAAAGGCCTGACCAATTTTGTCAAGGACCATGGGGAGTTCGACCCGGCCGAGGTGCCCCTGCCTACCAGCAGACAATCAACGCTCAACACACTCAACTCTCCTCGCGATCGATCGTCGCTGAGTCTCCCCACCACAGGTGCTGGGGGATCTGGAAACATAGAGGGTCCGATCATGAGCGGTTCGACTGCGTCCGAGGTGGAGTTGTCGTCGCTATTCTCAGGAGTGACGTCCGAACAAACCAAGACGTCGTCTTTTTTTTACAATTCATCACAGTCCGCGGCGCCAACGCCAGCCGAAGAGACTTTGAGCCCCCGGGAGGCTGCACCAGAGCGCCAGGAGCCGCCCACGGTGTCGGTGAAACACGGCGTCAGAAATGCGGACCAAATCGCTCGGGTCTTTACTCGAGCTAGTGTCTCCCTGCAGGATTCCCTGGATCTAGATGGGGTACTCTTCCTTGATGCGAGTCGATGTAACTCGGGCGTGTAAGTGTATTTATTGTCTGCTGCACTGGATTGGTCGCTAACTAAGGAAGTAGGGTGCTATCGGCTGACGAGGCTCGAAGTTGGGAACCGCTTCCCACCACAGCAAATCCAGAATTCCTTGCCGACCCCTTCCCTAGTCCGCTTGATTTACCGGGGGTAGGATCACTATCCAAAATTGCAGAAAAACCATGTGAAGTGCTGGGCTGGTCCCAAAATACACCGTCAACCACAGGTTCTGATACCGTAGCGGTCACCGAGAGACTTCTCAGCCAATTGATTGCAACTTTTCCGCAGGGTCAGTTCTTTAATCTCCATGAATGGGCGGATGAGGATGGATGTGAGTCAGATGGAGGAATACGACAGGATGATGGGGCGAACCCCGAACACCTGCGTGACCTTGTCCGACAGCTCCGTCACCACATTCCAGATGCGTACAGTGTTCTTTGGTCGCCCTTGTGGTGCTGGAGGCAATCACGGTGGGTTGCCGGCACCCTTGCGTGGTCTCGTGGTAGCGATCGTGCATTAGGAGTGTACGACCTGCCGTACTTGAGAGTACTCGGAGATTCCATTATCTCCGAATTGGCTCGGATCGACTGGTCCACCACGCAACAGTCCAAATCCGATTTCATCTCGTCAGTTAGCCATGAGCTCCGCTCGCCGCTGCATGGCATCCTAGCTAGCGCAGAAGTGCTCGAAGGTACTCCTCTTCAACCGACCCAGCTTCACTGGATGAACATGCTAAAGACATGCGGCTGGGCCTTGTTTGATACATTGAATCATCTGTGGGTGAAAATATCTGTCTAACAAAACCTCTGCTTCAACTTGCTTATTCTTCCTGCAGGCTCGATTTTGCCAAGATCAACAATTTAACTACTGAGGACGCCGCACGGGAGGGCCGCATCAGAGCATCCGACGGCAGTCTGGCGACGACTTTTGACCTGGCTAACCTGATTGAGGAGGTCACAAGGGTTCAATATGTTGGTCAACGGGTACCTAAAGCGACTGTGCCTTTTGTGGACCCCTTAGCCACTCCCAAGAACAATGGTTCCAGCGGCGAAACGACGGTTGTTGTTCGCATTGAGGAACGGCATGCGTGGAAAGTGCGATCCCTGGCGGGGGCTTGGAAACGAATTGTCATGAACCTCCTCGGCAACTCGCTGAAATTCACAAGTTCTGGGTTTGTGGAGGTCTCTCTCTCTAAAGTCA